TTCCCCCACCAGGTAGGTTGGCCAGTTCCTGGCATGTATTGTGATTTGGGGGCGGGGGCAAAAGCACATTTCCCCCTCCTCCTTCCAGGATGCCCACTTTTCTGGGGCTGATGGGAGACAGAGTCCAACAGCTCCTCAAGCTGTTGAACTGCCCCTTCTTTGTGCATTTGCTATCACAGTGTTCAACGGAGGCTCGGAAACATGCATCGGACTGCAGCCTTCCCATGGAAATGCTGAGGGAGGGGTTGGCGCTGAAAGGCTGGGGAGCGGGAGGCGGGCTGGGGACGTGTGCCAGGGCCCTGAGCCAAGAAGGCAGGCTTCCCACAAAGGCCGGGCCTGACAGGGAGCCCGGCAGGGCCTGGCTGCCTTCATCCCAGCAGGACAGGCTTTGGATGGCCTTCCCCAGCCTGTGCCCCACTGACCCCTTTTGGGCTGCTGGAAGCCCTGCTGGCCACATCCCCGGGCTCTGTTTTGAGAAAAGACCTGACTTGCTGCTGCAGGAAATGAATCCCGTTCGAGGGAAGCCAGTGCTCCTTGGTGTGCCAGGCCAGCTTGTTTGTTTAAGGAAGGAAAGAATTCCTTGCAGGCCTCCGGAAAAGGAAAGGCTGGCCAAATGGCATTTGGAGAGAAATAGACGGAACTGCACTAGCATTCCGGCTGGCTGGCTGGCTGGCTGGGAGCAATTGCCTGTGTACCGGGTTCAAACCCCTCAGCACCCATTCATTCAACAAGGAGTGTATCCTTTCCACCAGGCAGCTAGTCTGTTCTTGCCAACTATCATGAATGCTTTTGAGTTGGGCAAGCAACAGGTGCCCTCCAGCTGTTTTGGACTGCAACTCCCATCAGCCCAGTAAATGGTGGTTATGCCTAAACATATCTATGTATGGTCAGCGCATTACCGAGCTCCATCTTCAGATCTATTCAGGTGTGCCCCCAGGAGCTTGCAATCAAACTGATGCCATTGCTTTTGGTACTCAAGAGGTTTGGATAGCAACTCACCAGTGCAGGGCTTGGGGCCTGCCACCCCTAGCCTCCTAGGCAGAGGCATCAAGGCTTGTGGGTGAGGGACTGGTGGTGAGTAGTGTGGTGTAATGGTCAGAGCATTGGACTGGGACTCGGGGGATCTGAGTTGTAGTCCTTGCTCGCCCATGAAGCTCCCTGGGTGACTGAGTCAATCATGGCTCTCAGACTAGCCTACCGCACAGAGTGATTGTTGCAAGGACAAAATGGAGAGAAGGAGAACTTTGTAAGCCACTTTAGACCCCTTGCAAGAAGCAGAAAGATTCATTAAAATGTGATGTCATCATGAAAATGATAACTCAACTGGACACAGATCGTCTCAGCATCAGCTGAGCAGTTATTTCCCTACTCTTTGGACTCACTTGTGCAAATCCAGCCACCTTTAATAGAGGGATTATTTTGTGGTCTTTGCCAGTGTTCCTTCCTGCTCCCTCTCAGAAGGCTTTCCCAGGCATGCACTGAACCGCTGATGCCACCATGAGCCTTGGGGACTGCTTCAACCCCCAGGACTGGAAGGCCCTGCCCCGGACGGAGCCTCCAATCCCCCAGTCCCCCAGGATTGCAACGCAGAAGGGGCTCGGGGGGGGGGGGGCGGCTGGGCACCTTGCTGCTGACCTTGATCTGCCACATGAATTCCCCAGTGGCATGACAGGAGCGGGTGGGCACTGTGAACAGGGTCCAGTTGCCAAGCTGATTGGAGACGTTGGCTGGAAGCTGCTGTGGGCTGTGAGACGTGTGGCCCCCTTAGCGGAGTGCATCGCACCTGGCAGCCAGCGACCCTCCAAGGCTTCAGCCAAGAGCCCTTCCCAGCCCGGCCCAGCCCAGGGGTGCCGGGGCTGGAAACTGGGATCTCCTTCGTGCAAAGCAAGGTTCCATCCCATGGTTCTGCACAAAGGGCTGATTTGAACAGGAACACCGGCAACTGCATTCTTGGTCACTCTGAGTGAGAACTGACTTTCACAGAATCATGCAAGAGTAGAGTTGGAAGGTGCCAGGGAGGCCATCATATCCGATCCCCTGCTGTTTATCCATTGGCAGACCTCCAGAGTTTGAAGCAGGGCTTTCTCAGCCCTGCCTGGAGTTGCAAGCCCCCCAGCACCCAAAGCCCACAGTTTTCTGTTTCAAGTGCAGGGCCTCCCACATCTTCCCCAAGATTCCCTTTGCTTTGCCTCCCAGGAAATGTTGGAAATTAGAGATTTCTTCTGCAAAGCAGGTGGGCTGCAGCAGTGCTTTCTGTACAAACAGATGTAAGATTCCAGTCCTCATGGTTCAGAATCAAGGGCTGATTGAAATAAATATGCAGCCTTAGTGCAGATGAGGCCTTTGGGAAGGAAACAGAAAAAAGGGGCATTGGGGCTGAGCCTTTGCCCAACGGGAGAAGGAAGTTTAAGTCAGTAATCTGCCTTGGCCCCAAGCTCCATCCAACCTGGGCATGGCAGTGCAGGGCAGGGTGGCAGTGGGCCAGGAATCATGTCCTAGAGTCTTAATAAAGCCTGATTGGAGCCTCATTAAGTCCTTCATCATCTGACCCATTAAAATCAGCCCCAGATGCTGCCTGGCTTGCGGCCAGCCCTCCCCAGCCCCCCAGCTGCACATTCGCAGACAGCTTTGGCTATGTTCTTTTGCTGCTTGGAACCGAGTTCTGAAAATCTATTTTTGTCCAGTTCCTCTGCCGCCACCGCCCTTGCCTGAGCCCGTTCGATCACGCTCTTTCTCACCCCCACATACGTCTGGGGCTCTGGCTTGCTGAGCCACTCGGAGCTGGCTCCGTCTGGTGGACTCCTGGCAACCGGCAGACAGTTTTGAGGGCCCACGAGCAGGTGGGGGGGGGGCCGGGGGGCCCACTGGGCTCCAGAGCTAGCACGCCTTCGTGGCAGGGAGGCCAACTTAACCTTCCACATGTCCAGACTTCCTTGTTCTCTGGGACTGTGCTGCCATCCTCAGGGCAGCTGGTCCCAGCAGCTGTATGTTGCAGCGCAACGCAGAGCTTTTGTGGGCAGCTTGTGGGCCGGGGGCACTTAAGAGCCCATGTCACCAAAGCCCTGCACCAGGCAAGAAAAAGAGGACGGATGTGGTGTGCTCACCTGGATTAGCCCAGCTGCCCTTGGTGTGGCAGGTTCTTTTTGGAAAGGGAAGGTTCGAGGATGGTTCAGTTCTGGCCAGAAGCAGTCCAACCTATCGTGGGCCAGGATTGGGAATGCCAGGAACCAGGAACCCCAGGTATGTCAGAAATTGTGCCATCTCCCCCATGAGCATCTCCAGAAAGCCCTGGAGACACTGTGTTCACACAACACAAGAACAATAAAGGGTAGTTGTCGAGATGTGGGTTCTCATGGTGTGGGTGCCCCTGAGAGATAACAAACCAGGGTGAGCAACTCATGGTTTATAACCAAATAATAAACTGTGAATTTGTTAACTTTCAAGGGCTAAACATGGGTCGTCACTGAACTGTAATTCTTGGTGTTGTCTGACTGACCCAAACGTACAGCATGAAGTATCCAGTTCAATTGTTTTCTGCTATTCTCTCTCTCTCTGTGGTTTCTTAGGGCATAATTTATACAGAAAAGAGCACAGCTCAGCCCTGGGACTGATGTGCTAGGGCATCCTTTGGGCACTGGATGTGGCCGTGAGAGGTCCATGTTTACATCCCAGCTCACCGGTGGGTCACTGGCTGGTTGCCAGCTCTAGCCTACCTCACAGAGTTGTTGTCAGGCTAGAATGGGCAGTAGTGGAGAATCATGTTCCTTACCTTGGAAGTAAAATGGGTCATAAGCAGTCTAACAGTGCTTTTGAATGAATAAATACATGCAATTATATCAAATATTTCCTTATGCACATTTTGGAAGTTGTAACCTTTTCTTCCCTTCAAAATTTGCTTTGTTGTTCTTCTAAGAACTTTTCTCTGGGAAGTCAGGGTCAATTTCCACCCTGCCTGATAGTTTGAATTCTAACTCCTGTTCCATGTTATGAAAAGATGTTATTCACCTCCATCCTTTCCTACTTGGGAAGGCAGGGTCGGGGGGAGAACGAGACATTTGCATGGGAGGAGCTGGCCCAGCCTGGCCCCTTTTAATGATCTGCACATACTTCACTAGGGGGAAAAATAGATGCAAGAGCTGTGCTCACTGAGCTCTCGTGTTTCCCATCACTCCAAGATCCAGTTGTCCAAATCTACAATCCATGGACCCACCTAAGGTCTCCAAATTCCATCTCAAGCCAGTAGCAGATGGTGAAGATTCGAATTTAGTCTCCTTCCTGTTCGAAAATCCCTGTGTGTGCACAGGTGTTTCTTTCCAAATGTGTGCATCTGGCAGGAAATGAACACTTGCTTTTCCCACTGATTTGTGTGCATTTTTCATGCATGTTTCCCTTATACATATATATATTTACATATGTAGTTGAATGCATTCTCCTTTTTGGGGGAGGAGAGGTCTGTAAATTACTTTGCAAGCCTGAAAATTCACAGGTTTCACTCATGAGTCTGCATTTAGTCCTGATCAAAACCAAACTGACGTTAATTTCTTGGAATTTCTTGTCCTTGGAATTGTTGTCTTTTTTCTCCCTCCCTCCACACTGCAGTTGTGATGTGCCGGCAAGTCATCTCCGACTCACGCAGGCCCCGTGAATGGAGGCCCTCCAGAATGTCCCACCCATGACAGCCCTGCTCAGCTGCTCTAAGCTCAAAGCTGTGGCTCCCATTATGGAATCGACCAACCTCTGCCCTTGGCTTTCCCTCACATGAGGGTCTTCCCCGGGAGTCTTGCCTTCTCAGGAAGTGTCGAGAGTGGGGCACCCTCAGCTTTGTCATGTTTGCATCTGGCTTGCTTTGATCCAGAACCCTCTTGCTTGCCTTTTTGTCAGTCCAGGATATTCATAAATCATCATGTTTTGAATTTGCACTCCTTTTCTTCCTGCTCTTCTGCGTGCCTGCTCACCTCCAAACAGAGTGCCCTCACCCTAGGCGACTCTTTCTTCCCCAGATTACCGCACGGGGCCTTGCTTCAGCCAGATCAGCAACCAGATGTGCCAAGGGCAGCTCAGCGGGATTGTTTGCACCAAGACCATGTGCTGTGCCACCATTGGGAGGGCCTGGGGGCACCCGTGCGAGATGTGTCCAGCCCAGCCCCATCCGTGTCGCCGTGGCTTCATCCCCAACATACGCACTGGAGCCTGCCAAGGTCAGCACCTAGCTGGGAGAAGAAGTGCCTGAGGGAAAGCACGAGAAGGTTCTCCAAATACCCAGAAAACAGCAGGATGGAGCAAAGAGGGGGCGTTTCGGCCTTTTAGGAATGGAGGGGGGATTGCACAAAATCTGGGAAACCACCAAACAGGCAGTGATTAGGGGAAGGCAGGCATGGGGGCTTCAGGGGAGCCCTGGCAGCTCGGAATGGGGCCCCAGGAAGGCCAGCTGGGCTTTGCCCACAGCATGGTTTCGGCACACGTTCTGCGCTAGCACATGGCTGGGGCGGCTGTTGTGCTGCCTCGGGATGCCCTGACCCATAGAGACAACTCCCTGCAGAACCAAAGCAGGACCAGACCACGGTTTCCCTAGCAGTGTGGAAGCTCAGTCCCTGGTGTGTGTCCGAACCATGGTCATGGCAAGCCGTGGTTGACTGCAACCAGGGATCTGTGGGGCATCCATCATATTCCATGGGCTCAGCTCCCCCGACTCTGGTCCACTTCCTCACGGCTGTGAGTCTGGCCAGACACGGAGTACCGTGAGCTGTGCCGTGAGAAGCAGGCCTGCGCAGCGTCTGGGCAAGGCAACGAGGGCAACTGGCAGCCTTTGTCTGTGCCACGCGTTGCGGGAGACGCTTGCCTCTCGTACCGCCAGAGTTCTGCACGCGCTTCCTCTCAGTTCCGCTTGCTTCCTAAGCAAGGACCAGGTGCAAGAACAAATCCAGCAAATGGCAGAGGGCCGGGGCCTGTGGGGATCACGCAACCCTCGCCGCGATGCCTGAACTGGGCCTGGTGTTCCTGCTGCGGTGCAGAGCTGGGCCTTTGCAGAACTTCTCGGCTTCCCACCCGCTCGTTTAGAGGCCTCTCCTGATTCCCCTCTGCCCCACAGATGTGGACGAATGCCAGGCGATTCCTGGGTTGTGCCAAGGCGGCAGCTGCCTGAACACGGTGGGCTCCTACGACTGCAAGTGTCCAGCAGGCCACAAGCAGAGCGAGACGAGCCACAAGTGCGAAGGTGAGGCACAAACGGCCAGGGGGTGGGAAGGGAGGGGGCGCTTCTCCCTCCCCAGCACTCCGCTCAGCATCCTTCCTTAGCATTCACCGCATGCCGTGTTAGGTCTTGGGCCCAGGTGGGCCTGAACACCTGTCCTGGCTTCCCTCTGCTGAATGGATGCCACTGTGTCACATTTTTGAAATCAGAAGAAGCCGGTCCAAACTGCAACATGTATCATTGCCCTGTGCTCCCATTTAGGGGCTGACCTGACCAGCCAGCTGGGTTTGGCTTATTCAAAAGGATTATGGTTACTCCCAAATACCACTCGGCACATGCAAATGCTTTCCGTAGCTTCCTGTTGGCCATATTTTGACTCCAGCCTGTTGGCACCAACACCAAGAACCTTCTATCTGAAGGAGCAGGGTGAGGTTTAAACAGAAAGTCTATCAGTCCACACCATTCCTGCCCACCGTGCAGCTCCGCGCCTCCCGCTCCCACATCACCCACAGCTTTCCAGCCTGCCACAGCTTCTTGGTGTTCCTCCTTGGATGGGTTGTGCTTCTTTGCCTCACCCCAAGCTCATGCCTCCTGTCCCATCTGAAACTCCACGATGAAATACTCATCCCGTTTTTCTTTTTCATGGCCCCATTGCTGCGTTCTCGTACTGATGTTCTCCTCCCCAGGCAATTGAAATGTTTCTGAATACTCCATTGCTTCTCAGGCAATGATGAATCAGAGGGTTTTTTCCTTCTCTATTCAACCTGTTTAAAAATCTGCTTCCCAACTTTTCAAGCAGGGTTTTGTGTCTTGTGGAGGAGATTCTGCCTGCCCCTTTCCTGGATTTTTTTGGGTTCTGTGGTTTCCCTGCCCCCACGGCTTCTGCCTCCACGGTGCCCCCATGGCTTCTGCCTCCACGGTGCCCCCACGGCTTCTGCTTTGGCTGTGCTTAGAAAGCTGCTCCTTCCGTCCTTTCTCAAGCCCTGGGCTACTCTTGCTCTGCAAGCTCAGAGACATTTCTGCACTCGCTCTGGCCCAAGAGCAAGAGCACAGCTTCCAAAGTCAATGTTTCGCCTTCAGTCTGGAGCCCAAACAGGCAGGGGGCGTGCCAATTTTTCATAGAGCCCTCGAAGGAGGCTGAGGAGTGGTGACTTGGGAGACCTCGAGCCAAAACCCCCAATCCTGTGAACTTGGGTTTGTGCCTTCCTGGGCTTTTGCTTCTGTTTTTAGGTGTGCCGTGTGCATGTCTGCATTTCTCATGTCTGGGTGCCGGTCTCTTTACACTTGCATTTTAAAGTCTATCTGTGTTTTTAAGTGTGCATGTGTTAACCATGTCTGTATGTCTTGGAGTTTTTGTATGCCTGCATGTCTCTTTGCAAGTTTGCATTTGTGTGTTTCTGAAAACATGTCTCTCTGTGTTTGTCTCTATGCATGCAAGTGAGTGTGCAGGTGCATTTGTGTATCTGGAGGTAAGTTTCGGAGAATGTACCTTCGAGCTTCTTGAAGTGCTTTTGCATGTGTGAAGCGCATGAGGAAAATAAGCCTGGGTTTGCCAGAGGGCCAGATGTTTTCAGAAGCCTCCAACGCCCATCAGCAACCACAAGGCAGATGGTGCGACTTGGGCGGAACTTTAATCCAGTGAGGGGAACTCCAAGCCTGGAGAGAAACACCCTCCACATTTCTAGGTTTGACAAGAGTCAGACGCCAACAGCAAATGCACTCTCCAAATGCCGGTCCCTCAGTAGCCAAAGCGGGACCATCCATGCATGGGAGGGAAGTCTACTGGCAGGCCTAGAAGCATCTCGTCCAAAAAAAGAAAGTTAAGGAAAGAGAACCTGGAAGGGAAAAGTCTCCCCCTCCCCAAGCAGCTGATGCGGTCTGAGCACATCAGCATTGGTGTGGGTGGGAGTGGCAAACCAGAGGGGGAGGAATGTGGGGCGTAACCGGCAAAGGGCACGACCAGTTGGGATAGCTGGAACCCACAGTTGCAGAGACACCATTTCGCTGCAGATCCCTCTTGCCGGGCACGTGCGACACGCCTCCGTGCCCTGCTTGCGTGGCTTCTGGCCGGCCACAGCGGGGTAACGGGAGGGCAGACTCGAGGGCAATTGGACTAGTGCCAGGGGGAAACGCTCCACTGTCTCTCGGCTCTGCATCTCCCCGCTGCTTCATCAGACCGGCCCTTGCAGGCCAATGTCCTTGCCCAGGGAGCGTTGCTGTGCCGTCCTCGAACAATTCTAGAGAGACACCGTGCGACCCTAAGCGAGCTGCGGGTCCATCCTGTCAGGCTGAGGCTGAGGCTGAGGCCGCGCTCCGCTAAGTGGGCCTCATTGTGCCCCTGCCCTCCCATTTCTTTCCCGCCTTGTTTTGTGTCCCGCAGGTGGCAAGCCTGCGAGTGGCGGGCCATGTGTTTTGCTGCTCCTGGGCCAGCCTCCCTGGGAGCTCCTGTGGGGGCAAAGAGTCCACACAGTCAGTCCGCTGGCGGCCCTGAAACCAGCCAGCCAAGCTCATGGCGCTGTGGGTTCCTCTTCCCCAGATATGGACGAGTGCAGCAGCATCTCCGGCGTTTGCGCTGGCGGGGAGTGCACCAACACGGCGGGCAGCTACGTTTGCGCCTGCCCCCGGGGCTTCATGACCAGTCCAGATGGATCGCGCTGCGTAGGTAAGACAGAGGGGAGGGCTGCCCCCTCCCCAGTGGGGAATGGGTCTGTGGGCAGAGCTCACCTGGCTTGATTTCCTTGCTAAGGTGAGCACTGGCAGGTTGTCGGCATGTTGCAAAGCATGCACTTCTTACCAAAGCACACACCTTCAATCCAGGTGGCTTTTTGTTGCCAGAAATTCTTTGATGGCCTGCCCTAAAAGTAATGTTTCCTCCCATCGGCTATCGAGGACACGGATATGGAACTTTGGGGTTCCTCAAATGCCCCCGCACCCTCCCTTTCCCCCTACTGTACTGCCTTTTCAACAAGGTGTTCCCACTGTGTCTGCATCTTTGGGGCTTTCCCTAACTGAGGAGGGAGCAGAATCCAGAGAAGTGCGAATTGTGGAAGATAATGGAGGTTCCCTTCCATGGCCGTTCTGAGAATACAAAATGAAAGTGCAGGTCATGCAAATTTCTCCCGTGGCCCCTCTTCAAGCAACGAGCAGCTTGAGCTGGATGTGTGAGTGACTCCTGTTGCCAGTTGTGCAGTACTGGAACTCAGGACGAGAAGTCTGGGCCAAAGTGCCTTGTTTTACTTTTTCTCCAGGGCTCTGTCCTGGGGCTGATCCTGTTTAATCTTTTCGTCAATGACGTGGAAGAAGGGGTGAACAGTCTGCTGATCAAATTTGCAGACGACACTAAAACTGGGGCAGTGGCCACAACTGAGGAGCAGGTACTCCAGATCCAAAAGGATCTGGACAGACTATGGAAGTGGGCAGGAGACAACAGGATGGCGTTCAGTGTGGATAAGTGCAAGGTCTTGCACAAGTGGCTGGAGAGCAGCACTTGTGAAAGGGACCTCGGGGTGCGGGTTGACTGCAGGCTGAACATGAGTCAGCCGTGTGATGCGGTGGCCAAGAGGGCAAACGCCACCCTTGGTTGCATAGCCAGAAGTGTGGCTTCTGGATCAAGAGGGGTATTACTGCCACTCTACACGACTCTGGTGCACTGGCAACTGGAGTATTGTGCTCAGTTTTGGGCCCCTCATTACAGGAAGGATATAGCCAGGTTGGAGTCAGTGCAGCGCAGGGCCATGAGGTTGGTGGCCGGTTTGCAGGGGATGCCGTATGAGGCGAGACTGAGGGAACTGGAGAAGAGGAGACTCAGAGGGGATCTGTTGGTGACATACAGGTATGTGAGGGGGTGTCACACGGAGGTGGGTAGAGACCTGTTCTCCCCTGCAGAGGAAGGCAGGACGCGCTCCAACAGAGCCAAGCTCAGGGAACCAAGATTCAAGATGGATGCCAGGAAGCACTTCCTGAGAGTTGGGACCCAAATGGTACAGAATGGGCTCCCACGGGAGGTGGTGGAGGCCCCACTGGTGCGGGTGTTCAAAGATAGGCTGGACGTGCACATGGTGGGCATGTCGTGAGTGGAGCCGGCTGGAGCTGGGGGTCAGACTAGATGGCCTGGGAGACCCTTCTGACTCGCTCTGTTCCTATGTTTCTTTTGGCATCACTCCGAGTCCATCAAGAAAATACAGAATATGGCTGACTAAAAGTGATCCCCTCCCCTCTCCTCTGTCACAGCCCCCCAGTGTCTGGACCAAGAAATTCTCTTCATGTTGACTCCTTGCGTCAATCCATGGAGCAGCTGTTGGGGGCCAAATGCCCCGGAAGGGTCCGTGGTCCAGACACACCAACAAGTGTGTCCAGCATGTGTGCAAAGGGTCACTTAGTTTTCCATTTCTTGCACAGAGAATATTCTCACAGTGCTGCAAATGTTGCGTGATCAGGGAGGGGAAAAGATCATATTTTCTGCTTTCTTACTTCTGTGGAAAAAGCAATAAAATTCCTCAAAGAAACATCAACAGTAGGTAACAACTGGATCTTTTCTCCATGTTTCCTATTAATAAAGATCTTCTCCCCTGCCCACACTTGTGTCAGGTGGTTGGGCCCCCCACAACTCTTAAACCAAAGATCATCCCTCAGTTTTTTCCATGAGCCACAGAGGAACGGAGTCTCATGACAGCCGTGAAGCAGATGGACAGAGCAGAATTAGGGTTTATTTAAACTGCTCAAGGGGAAGGTGTAGTCATGGAAAATTGCAGGAAGTTTTGCCTCATGTATGAAGCCCTGGAAAAAAATTGAATGGGGGTCGTTCCTTTCCCAGTCTGGTTTCTATTGGCGTAAATTAGAACAGGAACTCTTCATGCACCGAGCATTTTTTTAAAAGGAAAGGAATGACAGCTTTTTAAAGGGTTGATAACTCCTTCATAAAGTTCCCCTTCTCCCTTTCTCTGTCCCCCATTCTCTCTCTCACATGCACATCCAAAGCAGCGGATCACCAGACCTTACAAGCCAAGTGGTGGAGGGTATTTTCCTCACAGACCAGATTGGGGACAGGCTGTAATTCATTGGTAGTGCCAAAGGGCTGAATGCCCTGGGTCTGATCCCTGTTGCGGCTCTGCCAATTACTTTTGCTAATATTGAATAAAATGGGCCTTCGCAGGTTTTTTTTAATATCAGAACTTAATTCAGAACCATGAGGAGTAGAATCATTAGTTTTTTTATTTTAGAAGAAAGAGCACTGCTCAGGGCTTTGCACACAGGGAGTTCAAAATCCTCCATATCTCCAGGTAGGACTAGGAAAGATTCCTCCCCACATTTGAAAGCCTTGGCAACAAGTCCCAGTCAGTCCAGTGCAGTTCTGTCCACCTCCACCATTTCCATCTGTCACAGGAATGGTCAGGAACAATTTGACTTGGTGAACTGAAGGACCTAAGTTGGGGAAAGCCAGTAAAGATGATACCAGACTAAGAACCAAGGATTTCATTTGGCTTAAGGCATCTACCTCCTCTTCTAAATTAGCCATTTATTCAGAACAATGAGGACTAGAATCTTTCTTTACTTTAATGGAAGGGCCACAGCTCAACAGGCGAGCACTTGCCTAGCACACAAAAGGGTGAAGCATCCTCTTCAGATGAGGTGGGATAGAGTCCATTTGGTAGATCTGCCTAAGCTGATCCTGGCCAAGATGGAGCAAAGTCCTGCTCAAGGGATGGACAAGAGAAGCAGGAAGTTTGAGGATTGTCTAGAGAGCACTCTGGGCCTCATTTCAGCTCTTTCCTGTGTTTTGCTCTTTTTGACCTGCCTTGCATCTGGTTGCAGCCTGAAGGAAAGTGGGTTGTGGGGGGAAAGTATTTTCCAAACACAATTACAAATTGAGGAATTTGCATTTTTTTTTCTCAGGTTGTGTGCATATGGTCTGCAAGCAAAGATAAAACTCTTGTCGATTCCAAATTGGGGATGATCAGAATTGAAGCAGGGGTGTGTGTGTGTGTGTGTGTGTGTGTGTATGTGTGTGTGTGTGTGTGTGTGTTTGAGAACTGTTGGGAATAAGGCAGGGATACTTCTATTTTCAGATGGGACAACTGAAGTCCTTTCAAGGCTGCCAAAAGTTTCAGCAAATGCCGAGTGAATTTAATTAGGGAGCCCGGCTTTTAAAAATAGCTCATTGCTCCCACCGGGCCTGCTTGCATAGCCTGCTGAATCCCCCCTCCACTACGTCATGTGGCAGGTTTCTCCCCCCAAAGCAAACATGTGCCATAAATGTGCCGTCACTCCCCAGCGGGGTGGGGGGCAATATTTTTTCTGGCTCAGGGGAACAGGCACCCCGGGGGGCGGGGCGCTTTGAGGTACATCCTGGCTTCTCATGAAAAGCCTTCTTTGTTCTGCCCCAGGACAGCCCTTCATTCTCCTGGGTGCACCGGGTGCATCAGCCGCAAAGCCAAGAGACGCTTTACTATTTTTGTTTTTGTTGTTACTGAATGAAACACTGATAGGAATCATGGAAAACTAGGTGTCCAGGCATATCCAGAACTATTTCTCTCCACTCCAGACCAAACATTTTCTATATTTCAGCTTTTGAGACATGCTTCTGAACGATTTCAGGTTTACAGCTATTTCTTCTGTCTGTGCATATCATAAAGATTACAAATTCAGATTTCCTGCAAATTCCTCATCTCCATGGTTCTTGAATTTTTCCATTCTGAAAAATTTAACCTAAAAAAAATAACCTTTCAGCTGCTGTGGTTATTTCTGCGGGTTTCCCCCTTTACCATCGCAGAATGCTCACTCACGCACAGAAAAGAGAAAAGCCGGCGCAGACTTGCTGTGATGCATATGAGGAGAAGGGGCCAGTTGTGATGTTCAGCAAGCCCTTCCATCACGGCACAGTTTTTCCAAAAACAGCAGACAGCCCCTGCAAGGAGGCACCCTGCATTTTGGGGAAGAAATGCTTTCCTTCCCAGTGCATTCCTGATGGAAATGCGTCCTCCAGAGCTGCTGTTTCCGTAGGAGGTTGGAATTCCCTGCTGGCAACATGGCGCTCTTGTTTGCCACCCAAGCCAGGTGGCACCAGACAGAGAGACTGAGAGAGAGGGAGGGAGGGAGGGAGAGTGAAGGAGTGAGTGCATCTGTCTTCAGAGCAGGCAGGTAGGGCCTTTTTCAGTCCAAGGGCCGAATTCTGTTCCAGAGGGGCTCTTGGGGGCCACATTGGAGGGATGGGCAGTGCCTAAGGCAAAAGAAGCAGGCTGCAGCCATATGGACTAGTAGCTTCAAGGGTGCAAGGCAGAATGACCTGCTGCTGCTGCTGCTGCTATTGTTATATTACTTTTCATTTCTAAATTGCCCCATAGTCAAAGCTCTCCGGGCTGTTTACGTCAGTGCATGAATCAATGCAGTAAAATAAAATGCAAATACCATCAATATAAGCAACATTAAATGAATTCAGAATAGCTAAAAACAATGGAGTGAAGGAGAAATCTGCCAGTCAAGGTTCTTTCCTGGCACAGAGGTGGAGGGATGGGCCACTTGGCCTTATGAATTTCAGGCCGCTCTCAAAAGCAGAGGAGTGTGGATGGAAGGGAAGAAAAGCAAGGTGGCAACCCGGAGAGTTTGTGGAATGGCAGGCCTGAATCAAGGGGGCCCTTTGCCGTTTCTCCAAGGGCTAATCGTGGCTTTTGTGTTGTTCTCCCCATCTTCTGAAAGGTTTAAATTCCCACACCAAGGCTTAAGCCCTATGCCTGGCAAAATGCTGGCATTTACTGATCTTTGGGCTCCACCCAGTTTGCCTTCAGCCCCACCCACCATTGGAACATGGCCCCTGAGGGCTGCTCGGGAAAGGGATGTGGCCCTCGGGGCCTATAAGAGGTTCTGCACGCCTGTGAGGAAAGCTGCTACTGCGAATCTAAGAGGAACGACTGGCAGTCAGGAAGTACCGAGCTCAAATCTCGCCTCTGCAGTGTTTCTACAGAGTTTCTCCCCAACTCTGCCATCACTCTACAGATACTTTTCTGGGGACAATGGGAATTGTAGTTCAACTCCAGTGACTCACCCCATAATATGGGCTTACTCATACCTTACAAAGTGTTGGTCCCAGATTACTAAGGCAACGCACAGTTCCAACAGCAGGTAGATGCAAATGAACCCCTGCCCTTCATAGGACAAAACCCCACCTTGTTCCACCTGCCCTTTCTCCCCAGAATGCCCTGTGATTGCACTAACTTTGGGGACATTCTGGGGATATAAAATGATTGCCAACACAGTCGTTCTGCTGTTGCTGCTGCTGTTCTTTGCAGTGGCCCAAACCCCACAAACTTTAGTAAAGAACTCTGGAGTGAAACATCCTGTGCCTGAGAATGTTGAGGGGCCATTTTAGCTCTGCCTCTGGAGCCAAGTGGCAGCAGATTTCTCTGTGGAGCAGTCTTTACAGAGGGGAGGTGAATCCAAATGTGTATCCAGGTTCTGTCTGCTCCGGCCAAACTCTAGAGGCAGGGAGATTCATTTTTGCCCCTCTGCAAGCACCGCATGATTCAGATTCCCTCCACCAGCAGCCTGCAGGGCTGCCATCCCGGAACAGTTCGACGTCTTGCTTTGAGTGGCGGCAACAAAATCTTGAGGCAGGAGAATGCTGCTCGGCTTGGAGAGACGCCCAGCCCAAATGCCCTGGAATGGCAGCTGGTCTGGTGCTCAAGGACTGACTCACCACCCCTGGGGGAGAGGGCCAGGAATTCCCTCCCACCCAAGGCCTCGTTAGCCTCCTGATCTGATGGCCCCCAGACTGCACCCTGCTTGGGGCCCAAACTGCTGAGGCTTCCCAGTGGGAATTTGCAAAGTATGATCAAAGAAGGCCACACTTTGTGCCTCCGGAGGGGTGGGGGGTTGGCACACCTCACCAAAGAGCATAATTAGCAGCAATTACTTTGCAGGGAAAGATTACCCTTCTGGCAGGCCCTCCACTGATGCTGGCCAAATGAGCGTAGACACAGCACCCTTGACTGCGTCAGCCGAGACGTGATGGTCCTAGCAGATTCCCTTCCCATCCCGTCCCGTCCCTTCCCTTCCCTCCCCTGGGTTGTCTGGAATGTGACCCCTCCCAGCTTTCTTGTGGTGCTTTGTGCCCCCCCCCCCCCGGATCCCAGGGAGGACGTGGATTCTTACTGCGGGGGAGCACCTTAGCACTGGATCCTTTTGATCTCTCTGCCCAGGATCACCTTCTCCAGGAGATGTTTGGGTGCACAACTCCCACCAGTCTCAGGCCAGCATGGACAGTGGTCAAGGATTATGGGTGCTGGAGTCCAAAGCTCAGGAGGGCACAGGGTCCCCAAAGTGGCTAAGGGTTTGGGTTAGAATGAACCCATGAAGTTGGCCGTTGGGATCTGGAACTTCCCACAGGAAAACTGAGCTCTACCACCAAAACATATGGAGGGGTCCTCAAGGGACATGGACCAGTTCATTATTCACTCTATAATGGAGTGTTAACCCTCTCACCTGAGGACCCAACAGAGCCCCTTTCCTTGGCCACACTTCTTCCCTGGCCCCACCCACTCACTGGGGACTCCAATCCTCTGGCTCACTTCATTGGCCACACCCCTCCCCATGGCCTCGCCTCCTTTCTCCCAACCTCCAGTCTCTGCCTGCTTTCCTCTCTCCAACTTCCAGCCGTTTGGCAGATCCCAGCTTTTCCCCAGTTTCCCCACGCACTTCCCCTCTAAATGGTGGAATGTCTCCGCAAAGGGCTACCTTTAATGCACAATCAGCTGGGATTTGGGGGCATTGCCCCACCCTAGTCTCATGCCTCGCTTCCACATTTTTGAATAATGAGGCAAAACTAGGTAAAAGTTGAAAAACCACCATAGGAGGTGGCAAGAAATAGCATGTGGCCAGGAGAAGGGGTGGCTGTGTGGCCAGCTTGGGACCCCCGCCTAGCTCCTGCCGGGAGATGGAGTTACCCTTTCCCAGCCGTCACGCTCCTCCAAAGAATCGGTGCCAAATTGACTCTGGAAAGCACACCAAGACCAACTGCCCCATGTGTTCCCAGCAGCTCCAGGCCTACTTACCTATCTCCTTAGGGATGGTCGCATCCGAGAACTCGCCCCTCTGCCTCTTGCACACAAACCGGAACTGGTGGAGCAAATACTCTCCCCGGACATGGCTGGCACCCTGCACAAGTTGGCTCAGCCAGGCTGAACTCCTCTCTCGTCTCTCTTCCCAGACCAGCGGTCCGGCACCTGCTTCTCTGCGCTCCTTGGCGGGCGCTGTGCAGGCGAGCTGCCTGGCCAGTACACCAAGATGCAATGCTGCTGCGAGTCCGGCCGCTGCTGGGCCGTTGGGCAGACTCCAGAAATGTGCCCCGTGCGGGGATCTGGTGAGTGTGATGCCAGGAGGGGCCGCCCAGACCCCAAGGTCCCCTGTCAAGCAGTCTTGGATCTGACCCCATTGGTTGGTGGCACCAGGGGGTTCTGGTATGGGGTCCCCTGCATTGCCAGGACTAGGCGCATGAGCCCAGAAGAAAGTCCCGTTGCCTTCACTGGGCCTTCTAGTGGTTCAAGCCTGGATGAGGGAAAGATTTACAATGGACTCAAATAGTCAAATGAGTTCGAAATGAGTAGCTATGGCAGACCTGCTTTTCCTTGACTTGCAGAAATTCCATGGACTTTGGGGCAGGTCTTTTCGTTTACTTTCCACAATTTTAGGCAAATTTAATAAAAATGCAACCAGTTACAAACAGACAAACTCTGCACTACTTTAGGAATGTGCATATAAAACCACAGAATAAAAATGTTGAACATTTTTGGGAGTACAAATTTGCGGAAGTGAAAATTTGGACAGATGCAAGTCAATGCATTGTGCAAAGTCTTATTCCGTCAGGCTGACAAGACGAGGGGCCTGACAATCCGTACAATGTGGATGAGATGGCTCTGGCAACACCAGAAGTCCCTACCTTCCAGTGATCGGCAGCACCGTTCTGTGCAAGTTTACTCAGGAAGTGGCAGTACCCAGTTCAATGGGCCCAACTCCCAGTACAGTGTCTAGGATAACAGCCTGCGTCTGCCTGCAGGCATAAACTGGGGAGTTATAGGACATTGTTCTGCCTGAATATGCTCAGGATTGTATTCTTGCACACATAGGAAGAGTGCACAGGATCAGGCCCAGGAGAGCCTCTCTTCCAGTCCTCTGGGACAACAGCAGATGCTCTGGTGGGACATGAGTGCAACAGCACTGCTCCTGTTCCAGTATTCTGTCTCTGCTACTGGAGGTCAGGCAAAGCTCTTGTGCCGGGTGGGCCGTTTTCTGCATCCCAAAGTCCACTTTAGTCATGCCGGGGTTTTCTGGACCCCCTTTCCGATTCACCCCAGAAATGCCTCTTTCCTTGACAGATGAGTACCGCCGGCTGTGTGTTGACGGTCTCCCAGTGGTTCCGGGCTTCCCCAGCACTTTCCCCGGGATCCCTGGCTTTGGGCCCAATGGGGTCGGGCCAGGCATTAGTGGTCCTGGCAGCTTCGGGCCTAACGGAGCGAACGGGCAAGGCGGGATCCCCGGGCTGCCGGGCATGGGGCCGGGCAGCTCAAGCATCGGTAAGTGGGGTCAGAAGGCAGCTTCGGCAAGGCTGAGCCCTGTCCTGTGTGCGCGGTGGAGGCGTTGCGGGGTTTCGAGGTGGGGCTCTCCCAGCCTTTTCAGAAGGCTTGGGCTGAACACTCCTGGACTCTCCTGCAGGACGCCCCAGTTCCAGGCTTTTGGTTCTGCAGAAGGGCCGATTAGAACTGGAACCTGGCAGCTCCATTGGACTGTGTTAGAGCTGGTCCTTCTCAGCCGTGACTTTTCCCAGCCCCAACAAGAGACGCTGTTCAGCAACAGTTGCTCCTGAAAGCTAAATGAAGTCCTTTAACAGCTTCCCACTCTGCAAGAACCTTAAATACTCTGTAATCTTTCCTTGCTTGCCACCTTGGGCGCAGAGATCCTGGGGCCTCGAGAAAGCACCAGAGGGGGCAGATTGCTTGGATTCCCAGCTCTGAGGCTGGAAACGGCTCCGGCCTTGCAGCTGGGCATCTGTGCTCAGATCCCCCCTTGCAGCCCCTTGGTGGGGCGGTAGCTCCTTCCCTCCCTGTCTGAAGCAGGGCCCGAAGGAGGGGATGAGTGCCTCCTCATTCTTCATGGGATGCCCATAATCCCCACCAGTCCGCATTCTGGGGGTGGGCAGGCAGGAGAGGAATTGCATAAATTTTCACTGCTCATTCTCTTCAGGAACGGCCACCCTGAACCAGACCATTGACATCTGCAAGCATTTCACCAACCTCTGCTTGAACGGGCGCTGCATCCCCACCCCATCCAGCTACCGCTGCGAGTGCAACATGGGCTACAAGCAGGATGTGCGTGGCGAGTGCATTGGTGAGTGTGGGAAGGGGATTGTGGGCCCAGACACTGGACCGTTGCCTGGATCTGAGATCCAGGACTGCTCGGCTCCGCTTGGGCTCCACGCACTTTCCCCAAATTCCCAAAAGTAGGCCATGCTGGGAATTTGTTTTAGGCTTCTGCAAAATGGCTCAAAAGGCTTGTGCAAATGGGGAGCTGAGAATCGCACAGTTCCCACAGCGCTTGCACCATGTTGTGTCCACTGGGCCAGCTCACTAGATTGAAGTGGTTATTCTTGTAATGCAAGAAGCAGGGAAATGTCCTCTTGCTGTAGAAATGCACACTTCACCTTGCTCACCTTGGATTTTCTGACAGCTAATTTCAGATTTGATCCAGGCCTCTGCTTGAGAATGTAGGGACATTTGTGTGAATCGACACAATTAGCAGAAATTTGCACAAATTGTAGGGTAGCTGTCCTTATTTTGCACTTTTCTTTTTAAAAAAATGATGCAAATAGCAGGTAATTTAAAAACTGATGTCTGCATGCAGGTTGGACTTGATGCCAGTGGGGGGCAGACAGAATTGAAGCCATGGGGTAGAGTTGGGAGAGCCTGTTGGATTTCCACCCTGTTGGAGTCCTCGTGCATGCCCAGAGGCAGCTGTGGGTATAGCCAAAGCCTAGTGAAAGATGCACTTTGAGCTGAGCTCAGTTAGGGGTCTCCCAAAGCAGATTAGGCCTGGAGCCAAGTGAATTCCTTGGATACATTTCCATTACAGCCCAGCTTATTTCAGGTGCTGCAACAAAATTAGTGGCAGTTTCTCAGCTGATCTCTCAGCATGACACCCCAAAGGTCCACCCCACCTCCCTGCCTGGGAGCTAAAATTATCGAGCTGCACCACTGCTTGGATCCATGGTGCCATCCCAACTTCCAGTGCTTGGGACTTCCAAGGAATAAAAAGCTTTATTCATTTGAAAAGAAATGAGAGCCAAACAGGACAGACACTGGTCCACTTTGCCTGGCTTTCTGCTCCTGCAGTAGCCTTGGAAAAGTCACAAACAGCACCATCCTTCCATGCTCCCCAAGAGGTGGTGTACTGCAAAGAGCACAGAACCGTGAGGACTAGTAGCCTGGGCAGCCCTCTCCATGAATGCACCTGCTCCTCCTATACAGTTATCAGGATGGGTGGCCACCGCAACATCTTCTGGGGATGAATTCCATCGTTTATAAGGCAGGATGTGGCTTTGGAGAGAGCGGGAAATAGAAGGGACAGAACAGCATTGTGTTTTGATGCTCTGTGACCCAGACAAGGTTAAACCGGGTTTTTCCAACAGACAGATTTAAATGATGGTGTTGCCAAATGGATTTCGTTTATGGTAATGATGTCCCTTCCCCATTAATTTATTGGTGTTGGTGTCTCCCCGGCATTATTCAGCAAATGACGGGTGGTAGATTAAAGTTTGATCAATTAGCTGCAATAATGGCCAATTTAGATAGGAGCCATCAATGGCACAACCAAATTATGGTGGCGAAATTGTCTGACTCAGAGAAGGATGGTGTGCGGCGCCACATTGACTGGTCATCAATTTCCGCCCTCTTGACAGGATGTGCAGTCAGTGTCTGGGAGACTTTGTCACGGGGGGCGAGTCAGCAGATAACGTCAGGCAAGAAACGGCCTGGCGGACCCAGGAGATGCTGCAGGGAAATGGCCCCACTTAATTAGTGGGGTGCCAGTTTGGCCACAATCCCACTGGGGAGAAGCACTTGGTCATTTGTCTCTCCCGCTGAAATGGCTGCGACTACGAGGCCATGAGTGGCTATCAGTCTACCTGGAAGGAAGCTCCACTGAGTCTGGCAGAGCTTTCTTCCAGGGATTGTACTTGTGGGGTTTCAGGGCAGTTGTGCTTCGTTTGGGCTAATTCCACCTGGACTCCACATGCTTCAGCAGGAGCATCTTTCTGTTGAAGGAACTTTTCAAAGGAAAATGGAAGTGTTCCAGAGTCTCTTTTGTATGTGTGTTGCACCAGCTTCAACTTGCAGGGGTTCCCAGTCAGGACTCCAGAATTGCTTTCTTTTCTGTCTGTGGCACTACATTGCCACCTGCCAAAGACAGAACATAGCTATTGACTGGGGAGGGCAGGCCAGGCTTTTGAATTTGTGATCAGACTGATGCTGTTTGAAACATGGGTGGAAAAACACGGGTCTCCACCCTTAAGTTGTCAATGGTGCCAAAGTTATGTCTGCAGTGTGGCAGTAGCAAAAAACCACATTTTCACTTTAAAACAAAGCTCCTTTGAATCACTGCATTTGTGTTGGGCGATTATGACCCAGTAAAAATAATTTTTGTACACATTACTGGTGCTATTTGTTTATGTATTTGTTGATTATTGAACAAATTTCTAAGGGAATAACGCTATGTGTGTTTAGACAGAAAAAAAGTCCTCCAGCTTCCAACATGCCCCAGGCAGTCTTGCTGGCCAGGGAATTCCTGGGAACTGCGGGACCCTTTTTCTGCCTAAAAATGCATAGGATGGTATGCTAAAGAGCATCATGTGACAAAAGAAACTGAATTTAAAGGGATTCAAAGAATGTTCCACTAAAAGGAAACCACACTTTGAAATGGGATGTTAACATGAGAACATCATCTCTGCTGGGGCAGATGCACGGTCCATCTAGTCCAGTGTGTCTGACATACGGTGGCAAACTGGCTGCCCCAGGACCCCTCCAGAAGGATGGGTACAAGACCTCCTGCCCAGCTGCTTTGCAGCTGGTGCATGCATGCAGGCCGCCTCTGGGGAAGGAGGGAGCCCCTGGCCAGCAGGGCTAGTAGCCACAGAGAGCCGCCTCCCTCCTGAGCCTCTCCAGTCCCCTGTGAAGGCCATCCCGTGGCAGCAAATTCCAGTTTGGCTATGCGCTGTGTGAAGATGGGCTTCCCTTTAAACCTCCCACCAATCAGCTTCTTGGGATGACCTGGGTTCAGGTGTTCTGGGAGAGGGAGACAATTTTCTCTCGCTTACTTTCTCCACTCTGTGCATAATTTTTGGTTCTGCCACCCTTCCTCACCTTCTGTCTTAGCTGATCCATCCCAGTTTTTGCAGCCGCTCCACATGGGGCAGCTGCTTCAGCCCCCTGACCATTTCCGTTGCCCTTTTCTGTATCTTTTCCAACTCAGTAATGTCCTTCTTCAGGCAAGGCAACTAGAACTGAACACAATATTCCAAGTGCAGTCCCCACAAAGATTCGTATAAGGGAAGTAAGCTGTTGGCAATTCTGTTTCTGATTCTGCCCCTAACTATGCCTAGGCTGGGGCTTGCCTCTCCACGTTTTCAGCCAGCTGCCCACTCCTCCCCAAGTTCCTTTTTCTTCCTCAGTCAGTGATTAGCTAAAATTCACATCAGGATGTGTGTGGCACGGGATTTGGGGTGCCATCCTAGTCAAAGGGAGCCCCAGAGCTCCCAGCATTCCTCAGGCAGTGTGACTGGGACGCTTGCTGGGAGTCCTAGTCTACCCACAGGCATTGTTGGCATTTTGGGACTCTGCCTGGGAGTTCCAGCCTTCCCAGGAAGGAAATCTGAGTACGGCCCGTGGACTGACAGAGGCACAAGTAAACCAGCGCAGCCTTCCATGCAGACAGGCGCAGCTGGCTTTGGGACTGCAATGGCCGATGCTCCTGGGGAAAGTGTGGCTTGCAGGCGTGTGGTGGGTTGTCGCTTGCATCCAGCGCATCCTTCCATGTACTGTCTGGGCGCTGTCTTCATTGGTGGGAGGTCCAGACAGTCAAAGGGAGGCGTTCTTCACCCCCTGCGCAGTTGGGTGAAGCTCAGCACCATGGGCTGCCACATTGGAAACCAATTTGGGCAGTTTGGGGATCGGACAAATGCAGAGCGGGGGAGGGGGAGAGGGAGGTGGCAGCAGCTACCAGGCCCTGACATGCTACTGCTGGTGTCAGAGGTCCATGGGCAGTGGGCGCTGCTACATTCATGCTCTACTCGTGGATTCCCCATGGCACTGGACTCAGTGGGCCCAGATCCGATCCAACAGGGCCCTTCTTCCATGCAGAGCAGGTCTCCCAGTGACTCAGAAAAGGGCCAAATTTATCCAGCAGGGCCTCCTGGGATTCCCCTGGGAGTCTGGGCTGCCCAGACCTGCTTACACTGGGACTCCCCCCGACAGTACACAGCATGTACCCACCCTGGGACACCCTTCGGCCCACAGAGGTCTGTCGGGGGCGCTTAATCGGAGGCCCCTCACTGAGGGAAGGAGGCAGGGCGTGGCCATGGGGTTCTGTTCACTGTTCTCTTCCTTTTCAGATATGGATGAATGTTCCAGCAGCCCCTGCCTGCACGGCGACTGTGTGAACACCCCAGGGTCATATCACTGCAAGTGCCATGAGGGCTTCCAAAGCACCCCCACGAAGCAGGCGTGCATTGGTGAGTCCGGAGAGGGGCTGCACTCTGACTTCACTGCCCCGTTCTTTTTTCTAAACTGACTTGCCCCATCCCAGCAAAGATTGCATGAATTCATGCATATTTCTATGTGCATTTCTCCTAAAAGTAATGTGTAACTTGACATCATAGTCTATGCATTTACTTACTTACTTATTCATGTCCTGCCTTTTCCCCTACAAGTAACTCATAGCTGCTTTCATAACTCTTTCCATTTTACCTTCACAACAACGTACCTGTGAGGTAGGTTAGGCTGAGCAAACAATTGGCCCAGAATCACTGCACTGAATGTATTTCAATATTTTAAAAGATTTTTCTGTTTTTACGTTTGTATCCTGCCTCTCTTTCAAAAGGGAAAAATGAACTGTAAATGTAAAATCTGCTAAGTAAAAAGAATCTCCTGTGCTGCAGGCATGCCTGCATCCCCTTGGTGGACCGGGGCGGGTGTCCAGGGCATGGCTGTGCTGTGCTGAGGGGCCCTTTGTGTCTCCCTGCAGATATCGATGAATGCATCATGAACGGACTGATGTGCCGCAACGGACGCTGTGTGAACACCGACGGCAGCTTCCAGTGTATCTGCAATGCCGGCTTTGAAATCACGCCGGACGGGAAGAACTGTGCTGGTAAGGCATGCCTGTTTTTTCCTGTGCGCCCACCCTCTGGGACAGTTCCACGTCAACCAGTCAGCATCCAGAAAGAGAGGTCTTAGAAACAGCCCGCCTCTTGCGCTGGTCTGGTACCCTGGAATGTTTAGGGCGCGTCTTGGCGCTAAGGCTTGAGAGGAAAAGCACTCTGCACTTGCTCAGGATCCTCGTTTCAAAGGTGAGAGAGCTGGCAGGTGATAGGTCCATGAGACAGTCCCAACAGAACATTACCAGCTTCCCTTGCTGGAGCCTGCAAAATGTGTTTGGCTGCAGCATAATTTTTTAAAAGTCTTCTGGGTTTATCTATTTTTTAAAAGTACACACACACACACACACACACACACACACACGCAACAAGAGAATTCCCTGTGGCAGTGAGTTCCAGAGTCATGGTGTTCCATAAAGGCCCCTGTTCTTGAGGCTCAGCAACTGGACTGCACAAGGTGGGTGTTTTTTATGGGTGTTTGACCATCTGTTCCCGAAACCTTTCGCTGCTGTTTCCACAAATCCTGATGCTGCCAGGGGAGCCCCCTGACCCTTTTCCTGCCCCCCTTCCTGCAGATCATGACGAATGTGCCACTACCAACATGTGTTTGAACGGCATGTGTATTAACGAGGACGGCAGCTTCAAATGCATTTGCAAACTGGGCTTCGTGCTGGCCCCCAACGGGAGGTACTGCGTCGGTGAGTACAGTGCAGGATCCTTCCCCAGTGAGGGCACAGCCTGGCCACACCGGGGGGGGGGGGTGCACACCTGTGTGCCCACTCCCACCTTAGCACAGGAGAAAGGCACCTGCCTGGCCTGCAAGACTCCTGACTTGAGGCTGCGTTGAGGCCTGGTTGGAAGGACCGAGCGAGTTCAGACTGGAGGTGCTGCGTACCAACCATGTGGGCACCTCCAGCAGGCAGGTCCGGGGCTCTGCTTGCACCCGCAGGCAGGTTGAGGAGCCCTCGTAGCGGAGGGGCTGCCTTCTGGGAGGACATCACCTGGTGGGCCTGCCCCCTTCCCTTCCCCCACCCCTGGCACTTTAACATATAATTAAAAGGCAGTTTGCCATTTCGCCTGCAACAGGGCCTGCAAAGAAATGAATTTCCCCTTGCAACTTTTTGGGTGCTCCCAGAACTTTTAGGGTGGGTAAGGTGTTGGACAGGACCAAAGCCAAGACGCCCCAGTCCCATCTCCAGCCCGCTTTCTGTCTGTCTCCCTGGTGCAGGATAATGAATTAGTCTTTTGCCTCCCTGAAAGATGGACACATGGGCCATGGAAATACTTTATCACTGCAATCCTAAACATGTCCGTATTAATTCGTATTTCATCCTGTATTTTCATTGTTGCAACCTATCCAGCAGGCTTTACGGCTAATGGGGTGGGCCAGAAATTAAATCAAATAAATAAATAGATATGTCTACTCAGCAGTAAGTCCCATTCAGGTCAATGGAGCTTACTGCCATGTAAGTAGGTATAGGATTGCAAGTGAAGTCAATAAAATCTAGAAGGTGCATTCCCAGCACAAAAGTGGCATCTGTTGGATTTTTATTCCACTGCATCAGCTGACAAGGCTTCCTGAGTGGGTTACAAAGATTAAAATTATTTAATAAAAATATTATTAAAAATGTCAATCAATGGGACAATAAACTCCACAAAGCAACAATCCAAAGCCAACACCATTATAAAACTTCAGAGATCCACCATTTATCCCCAGGGACAGCATAAAGCCACAATTGCAGGTTTTAAACCAGGTATAGATATTAAGCTATTTAAATCATCCCTAACTGTTGAAATATCAGGAAAATACAAAGGCCTTTGCTAGGCTCTGAAAAGAGGGTGCCCTTCAGACCCCTCTGGGGAGCTGGTTCCAGAGTCGGGGTGCTGATACTGGAAAAACCTGCAGCAGACTCAACTGAGTTCTAGTTTCTGTGTACCTGGCCCTTTTCACAGTAGCTCGGCTTTTTCCCAAGTTATGGGGACCCTGCAGACCTCTCCATGGTTAGCTTTTAGGGCTCTGTGCAAGAACATGAACTTGCACTGAAGCATGTTAGCACAAGTGGAACAAAATTATTCTAATAAAACCTGATTGCATCAGTGGGAATGACTGAACAAAAGGTACCTGATAATATACACTAGTTTTAACAAAAACTGTAGATCCCTGATGTTAGAATTATTATTAATTTCATAATTGTTCTCCACAAGAAGATCCAGATTTTAGGCCACGAGTTTTGGAGGTAGGTGATTCCACCTGAGCTGTTTGTTCTGCTGGGGAAGCGGGTGAGCTCTGGCATCTGCAGCCGGCTTCTCTGCTCCTGTGGCCTCACCGCAGCCCCCTCCTCCCTGCAGACATCGACGAATGCGAGACCCCAGGAATCTGCATGAATGGGTGGTGCATCAACACGGAAGGGTCGTTCCGCTGCGAGTGCCTGGGAGGACTGGCCATCGGTGTGGACGGGCGAGTCTGCGTGGACACCCACGTCCGCAGCACCTGCTACGGGGGCATCAGGAAGGGCACGTGTGCTCGACCCTTCCCCGGGGCAGTCACCAAGTCCGAGTGCTGCTGTGCGAGCCCAGACCACGGGTTCGGGGAGCCCTGCCACCCCTGCCCATCCAAGAACTCTGGTGAGTGGGTGCCCCGTTGGCAAGCACGCCTGCCTCTGCTTGGATGTCGAGGTGACTAAGAGGGTCACGGTGACCCCGAGTGTCCTGCCTGCGTGGGTTGGTCTATTGCATCGCTGCCCACCTTCTGGTGGGCCCAGATTGCCTCCTGAAGAAGCCTTTAGATCTCTGCCCTGTTTGCCCTGTTTGCACTCTTTTCTTTGCAATCGTCCTTCTCATGTCCCTCCTTTCCTGCAAAGGCCCCAAGGCCGCTTGCCTAAGTGTCTTTCTCCTCTCCATATTATCCTCACAACAACCCTGTGAGGTAGGAGACACTGAGAGTCAGGAACCAACTCAGAGGCCCCCAGCAAGCTTCATGGCCAAAGGAGGACTAGAATCTGAGCTTACCATGATACCACCCTGCCTTTCCGTGTGCCTGGAGTCTATATTTTATTTTATGTCATTCAGCACAAGGATGAGCAACTTTGGGGGCTCCAGGGGCAATTTTTGCCCACCAGCCCCCATCCCATGGACTGGAACTGCCCTTGTAGCTGCCAGTCAATAAACCCCCCACATTTTAAAAGGCGTCTGTCATGGGCTGCAGAGTGCCAAAAGGACGGGAAGCAGCAATGGTACTGCCCCCTCTCAGAATTCCCTGTTCCCTCTGAGTTTGCAGCAACTGCCCAAGGGGCAGGGAGGTGCATCACCCAGCGAGAGGGTACAGTTGCCTATTGCACTGCGAAGTATTTTGCCGCAGCTTGTTTTCAACAGGCAGGTAGATCCCTCTTGCTTTATGAAGGACCAGCTCCAGGTAGAAATGCAAGCCGGTCGGGTGCTCAGCACCACCGGCTGCAGACTGGACTTTCCACGAGGGGGCCTGGCCGCTTCTCTGGTGGCCTGCTGGACCCAGAGATTCCAGCTCCCCAAAATTCAGAACCGGGGGTTGCAGTGGTCTCAGGAGTTGGTCCGTGACCTGGTGGAACACCTGGCTGGAGCCGCAGTCACGGGAGTCAGCTGTGCAGGGCTGCTCGGGGTGAAGGTGCAGGTGCAGGAACTTGGCTGCACACTCCTGCAGCAGCAGCAGCCCCCAAGCGCTGATAGGGGGAGCCTCAGGAGGGGCAATAGGGGGCTTTTGCTGAGCATTGTCTTGAGCAGCAAGACTGTTCCAAAAGGAATCGAGGGCAGGTTTCTCTGAGCATATGCCATGAAAGCATGCAAAGAGTTGATCCATTCTAAACTGAGTAGAGCAGAGCTTTTTCTGGAAGTTTGCAAAGACCTTTGTAGGTTCCATACCAGACTGAATGGAAAGGAGCTCTCTGGACACTCACCAGGGGCGTGTTCCTAGTGAGTGCCTTCTGAACTGAGTGGAGTGCTGCTTTGCCCAAACGTTTCCCAAGAAAGCAGGTCCATTCCGAATCGAGCAGAGGGGATTCCTCCAAATGTCCTCCAAGAATAGCTGCAACAAGCGAGTCAGGTCTGAAGTGAGCCACGAGGGGCTGGGCTGACTTGCAGAACTGCTCCCCTCTCTGCAAAGCAAGCCAGGCTCCCTCTCCACCCTTGGAGACAGTGAGCTGGTCGATGCATAAGCTCAGTGCTGCTGGGAAAGCCTTGCACTTACTGTATGACGTGGCGCAGACATTCCGTCTGTGCTGTTGGACTCATGGGAAGCGTTCCCACATGCAAGCCAGACTGCTATCGTTGGATGACAAATGTTTGCTCTCTTCCCAGCGGAATTTCAAGCACTGTGCAGCAGCGGCATCGGCATCACGGCTGACGGGAGAGGTGCGTTCTGGGAAGGGTTGGACTGCTCTCCGGGTTTCCCGCTGGAGCCGCCTTGGTCACCGGAGACCCAGATGACCTGAACCTCCAGCAGCTGCGATCCGGTGCACAGCCATGGTGCTTCTTGGAGAGAGGAGCCTGGCACGGTGCCCCGTGGCCCTGGGGACCTAGAGAGGGGGCTACTGCAATATGGCTTATGCAGGCTCAGAAGCTGCAGGTGCAGGCTTGTGCGTGCACATGAGTAACCCCCTCCTTTGGGAGGTCTGCCCTCACTGCCTTCTTGCTTGGAGCCCCCTCACAGTGGGGATGTCGGGGAAATCTGCAGCAGGTGCAGAGGAGTGTGGGTGCTTGTGGCGCTGGCCTGCGGATTTGGCAGTGGGCTGGCTTCCTCTGAGTTAGAACCATTCCAGCAGCTCTTTTTTTCTCTGTAAGGGGAAAGTTTGCACTAATTTGCATCAGCACAAGGTACAAATGCACTGATGGTGTCCTGGATGCATATTAGTGCTCATTTGTGTGGATAGTTAGTGCTCATTTGCATTGACTAATATGTGCTTGTGGAGGTGTGCATGTGCACAATTACACCAATGTTGAGTAGGGTTGCAATGAGGCCCTGTGGAACCGTCCCTCCAGTTCTGGTAGGCTTCCTCTCACACTGAGCTGAGTCTGGCAGGTGAACCAAGCCAAGAGGAAGTCTGAGACGTGCTCCAAAAGAAGGTTGCGCAGCCAGCAAACTTCTTCCACAGCAATTCAGTGGCACAGAGGTGTGGAAGGTCCATTCCTGGTTAGCCCTGCACATGCTGGATGTGCGCGCCAGGAGTCTGGAATCAGGGCAGAGCAGACTGGAGCCCAGGGAATCTGACCAATGCCCGCCCCCGACGGATTGCTCACACATCCCTGCCATTCGGGGTGCAGTTCTAGGGGGAAGCCCTTGGGTCCCAGCTCAGAAGGTTCTGGGCACTGTAGGCAGGGTGTCATGAGCTGTGCTTCTCCCTGCAAGCAATAGCGGTCTCACCAGCGTTTCTTTGCTAAAAGGCTTTCTTGTTACATTTGATCATACAGTCTCTGAGCATACATAAACAAGCTTAAAAGGGCAGGTGGGCTTTCTCCAGGATCAACTGCAGTTCACAGAACAAGCCCGAAGCTCCCAGACAGCTTCTGCTGCTTCTCCACGATTGTTGGAGCAGCCTCAGAGAAGGGGTTTCAGGGTGCTGAGGAGGGCAGCAAGGGGAAGGGGCATTCCCTCCTGCCTCAGCCCCCTGCTCTCTTGAGTAACCCTTCTGCATCTCTCTTTCGAGGGAGGGGTGCAGTGGAGCTGAGCATGCCTTCCCTCCTCCTGCTGCGCCCTTACTTGGGCCGCTCTACCATGGTGACATCTAACTATTGGATCTATCCCTTGGGAGTGCCCCATCTGAAAAACTACCCATTTCCAGGTCTGCTCCCTCAGAGGGTTGCAGCTCCCTGATTCCCACGGCCAGGCTGACTGGGCCCCTCGTCTGCCCGTGGGCTAGTCTCCCCCATAGCTAAACCCTGCAGAGTCTCAAGATCTGGAACCTCAGAATCTGAAACATGTCGGCTTTCGCGCATGCAGCTGTGATCTCATAGGGTGTGCGTGCACAACACAGGGGTCCAAGGAGGAGAGCAGGGGGCTGAGGCAGGAGGGAAATGCCCCTTCCCCTTGCTGCCCTCCTCAGCACCCTGAAACCCCTTCTCCGAGGCTGCTCCAACAATTGTGGAGAAGCAGCAGAAGCTGTCTGGGAGCTTCAGGCTTGTTCTGTGAACTGTAGTTGATCCTGGAGAAAGCCAACCTGCCCTTTTAAGGTTGCCTGGGAGGATGAGCTGCCCTGTCCCCCAGAAAGGGTCTGTTCCTTCGGTTGATGTTCCTTAAATTTGTTGAGTCTGCAGTCTTACCTCCGAAGACTCCCCCCCCCCTTTTTTTGCATGTGTGCACGGTTGTGATGAGCCCATTTCTGTGCAGTGAAAGAATGTCACTTGCTGCTTGTACACTTGTCTACCCCTGAGAGGGGTCATTGCAAACATCAAAAGGAAGCTGGGACCTGGACAATGTTGACAGCACAAGGCTTGCCCCGATCCTCCCCTCCTTGCCTTCGAAACACATCTGGAGTGCCTGGGAAAGAGGAGGGTCTGGGACGGGGAGCAGTGACTGTTGAGGTGGCTTATTTTCCCGAATTCCCTTCCTCCCACAGACATCAACGAGTGTGCCTTGAATCCCGACATCTGCCCCAATGGCATGTGTGAGAACCTGCGGGGAAGCTACCGCTGCATTTGCACTCTGGGCTACGAGGCAGAGCCCACGGGCAAGAACTGCGTGGGTACGTGCGCTCAGGCCACGACCGGGGAGCACGGAAGGCGGCTGAGCAGCCGGGGTGGGGGGGAGGGAGGGAGAACTGCCAGGTCCATGTTTCACTGTTTTGCATCATTTCCCCGCTGCTCTTTAGTCCCTTCCAGCCCCCCAAACAGCTCCTAGCACAGTTCAGGGACAATCCATTGAGGCTCTGGACTCAGAAGACCAAGGGGACCCTGTGCTGGCAGTGCAAGCAGGGAGGCCTGTGACCTCCGGCTCTGCAAAGCAGCAGGAAGGCTGATTTCAGCAGCACGACTTGGGAGCAGGTGGGAAGGAGCACGAGGTGGCAGCCGGGTCCTCTTAGCAGCGCCATTCTCCTCCCCACTCTGCCCCTGAGGTCGTTCTGGTGGCCTTGGAGAAGCAACAGGTGTGACTCGTTCAGCCCTGGCAGAGATAATCCATGGGTTATGTCTCTGGATATAAACTGCAAGAAGGGCAAATGCTATTTTAGGCTGGATTAATGCACATTATCACTTCCAAATCCCTTGAAGTGCTGGCTCCCCTTTACTCACCACTGGTTAGGCCTTGTCTGGAGTCCTGCATCCCGTTCTGGGCACCCCAGTGTAAGAAAGATGCAGACAAGTTGCAAGTGTCCGGAGGAGGCAGCAAGGAGGATCCAGGGACTGGAAACCAAGCCCTGTGAGGAGGGACTGCGGGAGCTGGGCATGTTCAGTCCTGAAGACGTGATAGCACTCTGCGAGCACTTGGAAGGCTGTCACACAGGCTGGATCTCAGGAAAAACGGCCTGCCTGTTAGAGCAGAACAACAACAGAACCAAAGGCCTCGGGAGGTGGTGGGCTCTCCCACCTTTGAGGTATTCAAGATGCAGCTGGGCAGCCTCTGCCAGGGACTTGGAGCCCTGCATTAAGCCAGGCTTAATGTCCAAGCCTTTGAACTATTCTAGGAGGTTAATTCAATCAATTCAGTTAACCTCCTAGAACTATTCTAGGAGGTTAATTCAATCACTGTGCATTTTTAAAGAGTTGTGCAGTTTTGATAACATGTCATGTGCACACAATCATCATTTTGGGAATTTGTGATCATTTTCAGAGGAAATGCACTCCCATTCATATCTGGGATCATGAACAAGGTGTTTTCTAGTGATTTCTGAACTGAAACACTAATCATATGCATTCCTAACACTGTGTTCATATTTATCACCTGTTTTTAAGGAAAAACAACAAGCTTCTTGTCCTTATGGGTGCAGTGTGGTGCAAAGGGGTGCTAGGGTCAAGTGTTGCTCATGTACGCACATTCTTGTTCCATCGCTTGCTCTTCCATGACCCTTCCTCTAGATGTGGACGAGTGCAGCGTCAACCGCCTGCTGTGTGACAACGGCGTTTGCCGCAACACCCCCGGAAGCTACAGCTGCAGCTGCCCCAAGGGGTTTGTCTTCCGGACTGAGACAGATACCTGTGAAGGTGAGAGGCTGTGCCCCCACGCCCATCCCTGGGTTTCCCTCCTGTTCTCCCATCCAGGATGCTGTGTTCCTGAGTCAGGAGGAAAAGTTTCAGCAGTAACAGGTGGCGCCTAGCAAGGCTGGCGCAGAGGCTTGCTAGGGATGGGCAGGGCAGATTGCCTCCACGCCAGCGCAGCTGTGCATCCACTCCAGATTTTACTTCGGACGTTAGAGGAACTATCTGTGGTTCTGCATTCGTTTTGGGTTAGTGTTCAGCACCATGGAGAGCTCCTGCAAAGACCAGGCTGGACACACAGCCTCACAGGAGACAACCACCTGCCCTGGATGAGGGGTAGGGAGGCAAAGCCTATATCAAGCCCTACAAAAGCAGCCTGGCCCCTTTTCAATCCACACCCCTCTCCCTGGGAATTAACAATTTCAGTGAAAACTTTTCTCAGTGAGACCCTTTCCCGCTTCTTAACCAGGCCTGCAATGCCTATTCCCCAGGATCGCCTTCTGGTTTTGTTCTTTTTATTGTGCACCACCCTGAACCTGTGGTGATATGGAGTGAGGCATAAACATCCTAAATAAAGAAATCAGTATAAAGTTCTTACTGTCTTTTACGAAATTTTAGTTCCAAACATGGGCAGCCCTTTGCCTCCCCTTGAAGCTGTTGGAATGTTTGTGAGCATTCTGTGCTCTCCTGATAATGTTGACTCGTTCGATGTCTTTTCTGGACCCCAAGTTTGCTCAGCACGTGTAGAGCAAGTGTCCCCACCCACATGCCCACATGCACCTGTGCCCAGTTCTGGTGAGGGTTGCCCCATCCACTCAGCAGACCCCCTCCCTCTCCCCAGATGTCAACGAGTGCACGTCCAGCCCGTGTGTCAGTGGCCTCTGTCGGAACAACGCCGGCTCGTTCGCCTGCGAGTGCTCGCCCGGAAGCAAGCTGGACTCCAGCGGAACCATCTGCGTCGGTAAAGCCCCTTTTGCCGTGCTCTTTGACCCTGTGATTTAGATGCCAGGCGGGAAAGGGGTGCCCAGGTGCTGCGCATCTCACCCTACTTTGTGCTCTAAGTGCAAGAAGCAAGGGATAACGCCCCCGCCCCACCTCCCTGGAAAACCCCACCGAGAAATGTGGTACCCACCTGTCCCTAACCCTGCCTGTATTCTGATACCAAGGACATGGCAGGGCTTGGCTGGTCCACAGTTTAATGGGAAATGCATCTAATTTTGCACTTGCAAACCAATATGCAAACCAAGATTTAGGTCTCCTCCAGCACAGACGCTGGAGGAGACACCACGACTAATATCACAGTGGGGTTCTCCAATAAAAGAGCCAGTACCAAAATGCATATATTGGGGTGAGGAAGGAGGGATGCATACAAAATGCACATATTCACGCATGGCAATTTTCACGAGAACATTTTCAAAAAGTGCAATGTTCAAGACACACTGAACTTGAGGGAAAAAATTCTCCAACTCTTGGGAAAAATCCGCAAGTCTGGCTGAAGGTTTGGAAAGTTGCAGAACTGGGAGAAAATGCAACTGATGGAGTTACACTTGGCTTAAACAAGCTAGCATGGTCTGGGAGCCCCCCTGACCAGGTGTCTGCCCTCCCAACCCCCCAACCCCAACCCACAGACAGCATGAAGGGCACCTGTTGGCTGAACATCCAGGAAGGCCGCTGTGAGGTCAACATCAACGGGGCCACACTGAAGTCAGAGTGCTGTGCCACACTTGGGGCTGCGTGGGGCAGCCCATGCGAACGCTGCGAGATAGGTAAGCATGGTCCAAACCATCTTTCAAAGCCACACAAAGTCAGTGCATGCCTAGTGGTTAGAGTTCTGGGTGGGGCCTTGGGAGGCCATGGCTGGCATCTTCCTCAAGTCCCTCGTGTTCTCACCTTCAAGGGTAAGAGGAAGAGGGCCTTCTTTGTGGTAGCCCCCAGTTAGAAAATGGTTGCCCCTTTGAGCTTCTCCTGGCTCCAACTTTGCTGTCCTTTTCGTGCCTCAAGTTTTAATAGCACAGTGGGAACGGTTGTGTCAGTCATGTATAACAAGCCCAGTTGTGTTAATTTGGCTTGATGATTTGAGTTGCGCTCTTAAATTTCTTTAGAGACATTTCCTGATGCTCTTCTGGTAGTCTGCATTTTTTGTTGTATTTTATTGTATTTTGTGAATTGTTGTAAGCCATTGTTGGGCAGCACGGAAGTACAGTCAATCAATCACACCGGCTACTTGGGTGATTTTGGGCCCGTCACAGACTTGCAGCTTAACCTACCTCACAGAGATGTTGTGTGGATAAAGGGCAGGGGAGGAGGGCCTTCCCAGTCACCCCGAGGTTCTGTGCAAGCAGGAGAAAGGTGGGGTAGAAGGAGTGTGAAGACACATTGCTCATGACTCGCCCCCTCTTTCTTCCCTGCAGACTCTGCCTGCCCAAGGGGCTACGCCAGGATGAAGGGTGTCTCGTGTGAAGGTACCTCCTGTTTGTGTTTGGGACACCATGTGAATCATTGTGCCCCCCCCTTCCACATCATGGGCTCATTTTCCCTTCTTTCCTTGCCAGGAGGGCTGACATATGAAAATAGAGGGAGCCCTGTAGGGTCAAAGAGAGGGCCTGGCTCACCCTGCACCCTGTTTCCAACAGTGGACAGCAGGATGTTTCCTGGGGCATGAAGCCCATTGCCCCCTCTGGTCCTCTTCTTCCCAGCAGGTGCTTCTTTAGGGGGTAGACTGCTCTTATGCATGGAGGCCTTGCTTTGCAAGCAGGGTTAGAACTGCTTCATGTCAAAGAAACCCCAAGAACCAACATTGGCTCCTTGTTGCTGGGGTTGATGGGATTACTGTTCCTCATCCCCAGCAGTAGTTCCACCTATCCTGACGGCGCCAGGGGCTGCCACCCCCAGCCACGCTTCTGGTATTTCTTTCCCTCCCTCCAGATGTGAACGAGTGCGAGGTTTTCCCGGGGGTCTGCTCCAATGGGCACTGTGTGAACACAGCGGGGTCCTTCCGATGCAAGTGCCCAGAAGGTCTGACGCTGGATGGCTCCGGCAGGACGTGCGTGGGTGAGGACACGAGGGGCGGCGTGATGCGCCTCCCCACCCCTTCTCCGCATGCGCCATGGCCCCAGGAGCTGCTCTGCCTTGGGGGGGGCTTTTCTGTGGCTCTGAGGGTGGGGCAGCAAATCTTCCTGGCTCCGGACAGCGATGCAGTCATGAAGGGCAGCACTTGCCCTAACTGCCCGTGTAGCTGGGACCCAGGGCATTGGCCAGCTCCACAGCGCCGAACCAGCTTGGACCCATTCCGCCTCCACGGAGATCAGGCCCTTTGTGGCGAACGCAGAAGCCACGGTGTGGCACCCCTGCGAGTCCTGCTCCCCCTGCACCACTGCTTTGGACCTGTGTCCCCCACAAACATGGATCGGTTTGCTCCATACTTTGCCTTTTTCTGAAGCGTCCTGGGAATGATCTCTTGGGTATGCGACCTCCACAAAACTACAGTTCCCACACTTCTGTGGGGCAGCCAGTAGACCAGGTAAAATATCTCTATGGGGGGAGCAGAAAGGCCCCCAAATTCCTGATGCCAAACCTGCCTGTCTCAAGAGGGCCACAGAACAGCCCCCAGTGCGACAGTGGCAGCCACATTTGCTGCACTCCTTTCATGGCAAAAATGTGCCCCCCCTCAGCCTCCGCTTTTTGCTTCGAGGGGGCCAGCATGGCTTTCCTGGTCTCAGCTGGCAGCTGCAGCGGCGAGGTGGCATCTGTCTGATCCTCCTCTGCTGGCCTGCCCCGTTTTCCCTGCAGATGTGCGCTTGGAGCAGTGCTACATGAAGTGGGTGGTGGACGAATGCACGGCCCCACTCCCGGGCAAGTACCGCATCGACCTGTGCTGCTGCTCCGTCGGGTCGGCCTGGGGAAGCGACTGCGAGGAGTGCCCCAAGCCTGGCTCGGCCGAGTACAAAGCCATCTGCCCAAGGGGACCTGGCTTTGCCAACCGAGGCGACGTCTTATCGGGCAGGCCTTTTTATAAAGGTATATCTGAGGGGGCCAATACCTGGGGAGAGCAGTTTGCGTTTGCTCACATCTGGATTTTGTTTAGCTTAGCTCTGAAGTTATGCAAAGAACCTGGTACGTCCAGCTCAGGAAGGAGCTGAGATTAAATTTTTGCCCATCAGCACTGGCCAGAATCTAGCAGCACACAGTTATTCCTGGCGGAGAACCAGGCTGTGATGTATGTGTAAGCTATGCAGCTGCTGAAGATAAGGAAGAAAGGCTGATAGCAGCCCTAATTCTGCACAAAAACCAGTCAGCCCAAGACTTTCAAAGAGCTAAATTCCAAAAGCCCTGCACAGAGATGGCCAGAGATGCCTGGCCACGTTCCTCCCACATCTGGATTCTGTTTGTCCTTAAGGGTTGTAGTTTTCTATTGTCTAAAATCTGGTTATGCAGAATGATCCATTCAGAGCAAAGCTGAAGCTGAGCCAAGTTCTCAGCCCTCCCTCAGCGAGGTACAAACAGTTAGGAAAATGAAAATAATTAAAAGATAGCACTTGCAAAGTCAGGGCATTAGTAGCATTTGCATTTATCGTATTTCTGTGACACCTTTTCTTCCTGCAAGGAGTCCAGTGCAGCTTATATAACCCTCCTCTTTGCCATTTATGCTCACAACAACTCTGTGAGGTAGGCTAAGCTGAGATGCAAGCAGACAGCTTGAAGTCACTCAGGGAGGTTCATGGCCAGTGGGGACCCAGACCTGCATCTCTTAGCTCTAAATATGATATTACAGATATAGGGAGGAGGAAAAGATGAAATGATATTAAAAGATGCTGCAGTGCTGAGCTGAGCAAAGAATCTTTCTGAGTACATAAGGAATGATCCTGTCAGCACCAGGCAGGCCTCTCCGGGGAAAGTGCCATGGTGGGGAAGCTGCTTAAAAGGCCCTGTCTCCCTCGTCTCCCTTCAGGCTCGGTCCTCGGTCAGGACTGACCATGAATTTTTAATTAATATTTAATTTAATATTTAAACATTTTATGCTGTCCTTTGCAGCAGCCTCAGGACAGAATGAATCTGTCTTTCTGTCGGTCAGTCATCTGCAGGCCTCCCGAGGGCTTGGCTTGCAACTCGGGTTGTTCTGAACTGCCCTGGCGGGAGGGGACTGGAGCTGCAGCCAACCAGTCTGGGGGCTAAGGAATGCTGTGGTCGTTTGACCATGGCTTTCAGATGGACGCTGCTCCACCCAGCAGTGCCCTGAGAACGAACCAAGAGCCACAGCCAGAGACCCTCCAAATCCGCTGTCTGTTTGGCTTCCCCAGATGTGAATGAATGTAAGCTTTTCTCCGGGCTCTGTACTCACGGCACCTGCCGGAATGCCATCGGGAGCTTCCGGTGTCTTTGTGGAAGCGGCTTTGCCCTGGATGCTGAGGAGAGAAACTGTACAGGTAATGGGGAGGGGGCTTCAAAACCCTTGCCACCCCTTCCGGTGTGGCTTGTGACTTTCCATGAGAGATGAGTGTCCTTTGGGCCAGTGCCAACAGGCATGCAAGCTTTCTGCATTCGGGGAGGGCTGGACCCGTTGCTGTGCCACTTCCCACGTTCCTGAGTCAGCGCCATCCTGTTCCTACCTAGCCCTGCCAATTTGCTTTTTAAAATCCAAATGAACTTTCTTATTTAAATATGATTTCTTCTATCAAAGTGAGATATCCTTTTGATATCCCTCAGTGTGACAGTTTTGCCCCTGCTGTCTATTTTGCATTAGGTTATTGTCATTTTCTTACATTCCCTACAGGGAATTTAATTTCTGCCTTTTGGGGCATTACTGTTTTCCATTACATTTATACCTCATGTTTACTAATAATATTTGCGTGTATATAACTAAAAAATAAACATCATTAATTTAAGTTGCTTTTATACTGCTTGGCATCCTAACATCTCAGTGGTTCACAAAACAGATATAAAAATATAATCCAGCATAATTTTTATTAATATTCTCACAAAATGTGTTCCTGGGCATGTTTCTAAATGTATTTTTATTCTGAAATGTGTGTTTTTATACACTGTTTGTTAGTTTTGAGCCAAGAGCTGCACCAGGAAATTCAGAGTAGCACCGAGCCCAAGAGTTATCCTGTCCTGAACAGTGCGGGTTTTGTCAGTTCGTGAAGGAATCTGGAAAGAGCAAATTCTTTAGTGGTCCCTCAGTGCAGCCTTCTGGGCAACTCCCAAATCTGATGTGATTGGGGATGATGGGAACTGTAGTCCAAGGCAGCAGAGTGTGCCCATATAGTGCTGCATGCTGAGTCCCCCTGTTCCTTTCCTTGCAGACATCGATGAATGCCGGATCTCGCCAGGCCTCTGCGGCCACGGCACCTGTGTCAACATGCCGGGCAGCTTCGAGTGCGAATGTTTTGAAGGCTATGAGAGCGGATTCATGATGATGAAGAACTGCATGGGTGAGGGGGAGGGATTTTGAAGGTGCGGGAGTGGGGAATGCTTTGGTTTGCTGCAACGAATTCCCCTGTGGAGTTCTGGCTTTGAAAGGGGCAGCCATCCAGTATGGGCTGGAGCCGGGACACACATGTGCCCAGAACTGGGTCAGGCGCCATCAGGAGCAGTGAGGCAGGGGAGGGGTCCATGCATGGGCAGGATTATCCATGCACAAGCATGCAACCAGATGAAAATGCTGGCGGGGGGGGGGGATCTCAGGTGCCCCCCTCCATCCAGGTGCCACCTCCTGGCATCCTCGGGCATTTAGCTCCTGCACTTGGCACTTGCCCCTCCCATCTCCAGAACGACACCTTGCGCATGCTCTTGTGCTGAGGCTGACCTTGGAAAGATCCGGGGGGGGAGGTGGCGAAAGCTGCAGGGGGGCCACATTGGTGCATCAAGGATTCTGGAGCTATTCAATCTTCATTATAGCCTGTAATTCTCCCCAGGAGGGCTATCAAAAGTAAGGACTGATTTTTATTCCATTAGGGATAGCTGAAGATTGCTCCAGCCTTCCCTGACCCAGTACGATCCAGATGTGTTGGACTCCAACATCCATCATGCAGGGCCAGCCTAACCACTAACCCAGGCTGGCCAGCCAAACTGTTCCTCTGCCAGGCCACCTGCTGGTCAAGCAAACTAATAATTTTTAAGAGCAGAGAGAAAGAAAACAGGAAGGTTTTGCCCCATTACAGCCTGGCCATGCTGAGTTGGGGACAATGGGAGTTGTGGTCCAGCCCATTTGGAGTCAGGATGGTCCTGGGGGCTTGCTGCAGAATGAGGATGGAAGCAGGAAACCGGAAAGCTCTTCCCCACCAAAATCTAGCCCATTCCGTGATGCACCAGTGCCAAATTTTAAAGCAGGCATATCCCGGGGGAGTGGGATGGAGGAACCCCCTCCCCATCCAAGTTGCTTTGGGGTGCAGCTGTCTTCCACTCTCCGACCGGGGTGGGGGGTGCCCGGGCTGGCTCCCTCATGCTCTATCTCCAGGATCAGCCCATCGGGCATCCGCTGGCATCTCTTTCAGACATCGATGAGTGTGAAAGGGACCCGCTGCTGTGCCGTGGGGGGGTCTGCGTCAACACAGAGGGCAGCTTCGAGTGCCTGTGCCCCCCGGGACACGAGCTCACTGCGGAGGGCAATGCCTGCGTGGGTAAGTCCCGCCCAAGCTTGTGCGGCACACCCGCAGTCGGAAGCCATTTCCTGGTGTGGCGTCTGGGGGCGTACGTGGGCACGGAGCCTGCATCGTCCCACCAGTGGGTGGAGCCAAAATGGTGGCCAGCTTCCTGTGTCTCAAGCGCTCCCTGGAGCAGCAGGACACTTGCCTTTAGGGAATGTCATGTTGGGGGACTGCACTGAAGCTGGGATGGCGGAGGGGCATGAGGCCAGGGGAAGGGGCAGGGTGGGACCTCAGGTGGGTTGCACTGAGTTTCTGCCCCCCGATATGAAGAAATGGGCAGGTGGAAGGCCGTGAAACGTAACATGAGTGGGTGGCACTCCTGCACCTTACCAGAGAAAAGCAGGGTGCTAAATGCAGGATGGAAAGGACACGGTGGACGAAGAAGGAACCTCCGGGAGGCCTCCCTCGTGCTCTGGGCCTCCCGGTCGCAGCGGGCCGGAGCTGCCTGATCTTTCTCCTTGCTGCGTTTGCACTTCACACATTTCACATTCTGATTTTAGGTTTCTTTTTGATTTGTACTTTGATTTGTACTTTTAGCCAGCTGGACTGCCGTTTGTGCTGGAAAGGCAGGAAAGTAATATGAATTCACAGTATTATTAATATTAGCATTATTCTTGTTATTAAAACTTCACATATGGAGCACCCAACCTTTGCCACATGGATCCATCACAAAGGGAGGGTGTCTCCTCTGCAGTTTCTCCCTTCCCTTAAATTTTACCCTGCCCTCCCCGCAGACATCAACGAATGCTCCCTTAGCGATAACTTGTGCCGGAACGGCCGCTGCGTCAACGTGGTCGGGACCTACCAGTGTGCGTGTGACTCGGGGTTCCAGGCCACCCCGGATCGCCAAGGCTGTGTTGGTGAGTTTCCCCTTCTCTGTCCCACATCTGTCCCTGCAAGATTATGCTCAGGTGCACCCCTGACATGGGGCCAGGATCTGCCTGTTGCTTTATTTCCACACAGCAGACAAGAGGGGTGCATTAGCTGGCAGAAGTACAGAGAGTCTTTGGGGAGAAAAGCAGGTGGCTCCCGAAAAGCAGCTCCGTGGCCACAGAGCGGCCGCTGGGGGAACAAAGGAGGCTGTGTGTGCCCAGGCCCGTAATGGGCTTCTCAGAAAAGGGTGTGGCTGGCTGTTTCAGTGCATGCGAAGGGCTTTCCACGCCTCAGGCAGCGGTGCCACCTTCTTGCTCCGCCGAATAAGCCCCACTGCTCCCCTTGCAGATATTGACGAGTGCACAATCACGAACGGCGGCTGCGACACGCGCTGCTCCAACTCGGAGGGCAGCTACCAGTGCAGCTGCAGCGAGGGGTACGCGCTGATGCCAGACAAGCGCTCCTGCACAGGTAAGTGGCGCCTTGCCGGTTCGTGAGCCTTCCCGTTAGGGCGGTCCCCTTTCCCAGACCAGTGTCCCAGTGGGGTAAATCTGCCAGATTTTGAGAGAGGCATAGCCTGGTTCTCTTCTCTCTGCACTCCTTCATCTTGGGACCTCGGCAAAAGGGGTTTTGTCCCTGGAGCAGAGGTTCTTCGTATCTGGCTCATGTCGTGCAGTAAAAATGAAAAGCCAAAAGCCTGCTGGTTTGTGTACAGAGTGTGCGCAGGAGCAGGAGCAGACCTGACTGCAGCTCAGGTTCCCGGGGAAGGAAATGCCTCCGAAGAATTCTCCCTGCATGGGGAGGTGGGCAAAGGACCGTCACTTCCCCACACACCTTTTCATCCAGATATCGATGAGTGTGAGGACAACCCAGAGATCTGTGACGGCGGCCAGTGCACTAATATCCCCGGCGAGTACCGGTGCCTCTGCTTTGATGGATTCATGGCTTCCCTGGACATGAAGACGTGTGTCGGTAAGACATGGGCCCAGAAGGGCGGCTGGGGGTGTCTACCTCAGCGGCTCTCCAAACTGCCTGTAGAGGTTTCTCCCAACCTGCAGAGGCCAATAAATCAAACCTGGTAGACCACATGTCAAGTCCTTAAGAGTTGAGCACGTAAATAAAGTAACATTCTAAAAACGTAAATCAAGTAAGATTCTGGTCCTCAAGGTTCTGAACAAAAGAGCTGCTTCAAATGTGAATGTTTGAAGCAGCCTTATATTGTGGCAAATGACTGGTAAACCTAGCTTAAGATCTTCAGTGCTTTGCATCAGGCAGAGGAGGTGCTTTCTCAGAGCTACCTGAATGGAAACTGGGAGCTTTGCTTTGCAAAGCACATGCTGTTCTGCTGAGCTACAGCTTTCCCCCTAAAAATAAAGCAAGATTCTAGTCCCTTGGGTTCTGAATCAAGGGACAGCTCAGTTGCAGGTGGCCTGTAGGTTTGGAGGGGGAGCTGAATGCGGCTCTCTTTTTGTCCCCTGTCACAGATGTGAGTGAGTGTGACTTGAACCCAAACATTTGTCTGCACGGAGAATGCGAGAATACAAAGGGCTCGTTCATCTGCCATTGCCAGCTGGGGTATTTCGTCAAGAAAGGCACAACTGGGTGCACAGGTAGGTGGGGGCTGGGGAGGGCCAAGCAGGATCCTGTTCACACAATCTCTTCCCAAGGCCATGCTGCAAAGGCCTGGAAGGGGAGCGTTGGGGAACCAGAAGAGGGGGTCGTGTGCTCCCACTGACTCTTGGCTCCCTGAATACCTGCATTGATGTCATTCGTTCATTTATTTTATTCCAATTTTGTACTGCCCAGTAGGTGAAGCTTCATGGAAGCATGAGCAGCATACAGAGAAAATGACACAACATTTCCAATTTGCAAAGTTTTAAAATAATTTAACAGCATAAACATTTTTAAAATAAAAATAGACCCTTTAAATGCCACTGGGTGTTAAATGCCATCAAATGCCTGGGAGGCTGTCTTAACCTGGCACGGAAAAGGGGGCAAAGTTGGCGCCCAGCAGGCTTCTTCGGGGAGGGCATGCTGCAGTTGGGGGCCAACACCGTGAAGGCCCTGTTCCCTGTTGCCTCCCTCCAAGCATCCCTCAAGGGTGGAACTTGGGGGAAAGCCTCAGATATTGATTCTAGAGTCCAGGTTACCACGCTGTGTAAGACATCTAGTTTTTTTCCACGCAGTTGCAGGGGGAGGTGTTGTCCTATACATCTGGGCTGGGGGACACCAGGTTGAGGAAGGCTGGAAGAGATCTAGGCACCTAAAAGCCCTTCCTAATCCTTGACTCATCCTCTCCTGCAGACATTGATGAGTGTGAAATTGGAGCCCACAATTGCGACATGCACGCGTCGTGCATCAACATCCCGGGAAGTTTCAGGTGCAAATGCCGGGCGGGCTGGCTCGGAGACGGCCTGAAATGCAACGGTGAGCAAGCACAGCCAAGCGGGGAGGGCCTCGGTTGCTCTCGGAAGGGGAAAGACCTTTTCCAAGCTGAGTGCCTTGGAGCACAATCCTCCCGCACTGCCTGCGAGCCCCCAGCCCCAGAGGGACACATGCATCGTCACCTGCCCGGCCTCCTGCCCTGCGTTTCCCATCAGGAGGGCTGCCCCTCTCACCGCAGCACCTCAGAAGAAGGTGGTTGAATGGAGAGGGATCCTGGCCAGTCTCTTCCCCTCCCAGCCACCCCCAAGCGCCCCCTTTCACCTCTCCAAGGCAGCCCCCAGCAAGCAGGGCAAGGCAAGGATTCTGTTTCCCAGTTCTGAGGTTGGAATGCTGCCTCCAGCCCTGGATCTGAGAATCCGATCCCGTGGCCCCGCAGTTGCTCTTTGAGCCCTCCCTTAGTGTCTGGCTTCAGAAAAGCATCTCTCTGCCCAAGGTCTGGGGCAAGGGTCCACCTAGACTGGAGCAGTTCAGTGGCGCTATTCAGCCTGGAAACCTAACAGAAAAATGGAGAGGTGTTTGAACATGTGCAAAGTGATTCTCTTTTCCTGTTGTTTTCATGTTAAAGATTATTTCATTTCTGGTTCATACAAAGCAAAGGTTTCAGGTGAATGGCACAACGCAGTTTCCGAAAGATAAAAGAATGTAAGGACAGCCATGCAGAACTTGGATTGTCTGACGCATCGTTTGCTATCCCAGCAATGAGCAGGTGCTCCCCCATTCCCGAGCAAGCTCATCCTCAGTTGGTTTTCTTCTAGGACTGAGCTGGCTCGGACCTACTGGAATACTTTTGTACTTCCCCATTCAGGCCATTTCGGTGTAATTGAGCATTCCAAAATCTTTCATCACATATCCATGCTGCAAAGATTAGACATGATTATAGTTCTCAAAAAGTGAATTCAGCTTCAGTGTGGAATTTGACCCTTGAGCAGGAAGCAGTCCAAACACCGTGCCTGAGGGAGTGAGGGCACTGAGGCGAGGGGAAACTGTCTGGGCGAGGCAGGATGATGTGAGGGGCTCGTCCGGCCCACCCCAGCCAGCCTCTCCCTTCCCAGAAGCACACCGCATTTGCCCGCAGCTGCGTCGTCGCATGCCCGGCATGAGTGCATCGGTGTGCCCCTGCCTGCAAAGTCCCGCCGCTCGTACAGCTGGGCGCATGGTTGGTCCGCTGGGCCGGCCCCGTGCCCCTCGCAACACCTCCTCTCTGTGCCTCCCCAGACCTGGACGAATGTGCCACGGAGGCACACAGCTGCAACCTGAACGCCAACTGCGTGAACACTCCGGGCTCGTACCGCTGCGCCTGCCGGGAGGGCTTCGACGGAGACGGCTTCTCTTGCTCGGGTAAGGGCGGAGGCAGCTCCATGCCCGTGCTGGGGCCGCCGGGGCAGCCAGGGTCTGGGCACACGGGGCCCGAGCACCAGCTCCGTTTCCTGGGCCCGGACCTGCTTGCAGGGCTTCAAGGATCCACTGGTGCTGATGCATGGCATGTGCTAAGCTTCACGGGCAGTGTATTGCTTCTCCAAGAAGGGTTCTTGCCATACTTCTAATGTGCTTCATTTTTAATGTTGCTTTTATCTTCCTTTTTATATTGCATATGTTTTGATGTAAGTGGCATAGAGATCTCGGGATGTCAAAAAGTATGTAAGTAGCTTAAATAAAGAAAGACACAGTCCTAAGCATGTTGAACCCTTAAGTAATAAACAATGGCCATGCAAGGGACCAGTGTCCAGCAAGGGTTGCTGCTGCAAGTGGGACGGGCCAGTTCTCCCCTCCTGGACAGCCCCCCTTCTCCTGCGCAACAATTGAGCTCAGGAAAAATGCTTTCCCCCATTGGCTTGGCAACAGCTGGGACAGGGTGCAAATGACCTGAAGACCCATCACATTTTGCGGTTGTGGGGGGCCTTGCAGCTAATCCTCTGCTCGGGAGCGGGGGTGCCCCCGACACGGGAGGATGTGTCTGCTCCCCAAAGGAAAACAGATGCCAGATTTTAAGGCCTGCAGATCTCCAAGCTGTGAGCTGGGCAGGAGGGGATGGAGTGGCTCGGCCATGGCAAGGAGGGAATCTCTTGAATCTCTTTCGCCAGCATTAAGGTTGGAGCTAGCGAGCTTTGGGGGCCCTGCTGGATACCCCGGGCACTGCCGTGAGGGGGCTGTCGCAAGAGCAGGGCCCTTTGAGAATGGCCGCTGGGCTGCTTCACCCAACGCCCATTTCACAGGAAGGGAGGAACTGGTGAGTCCACAGGAGCCAAGGGCTAGTTTTAAGGGTTTCACAGCAGCCCAAAGACCAGAGCCCTCGCTGTGGCATTTGGGGACAGCTGCTCAGCTCACCCATTCTCCGCAGACGTGGACGAATGTGCCGACAACGTCAACCTCTGCGAGAACGGGCAGTGCCTCAATGCCCCCGGGGGCTACCGCTGCGAGTGCGAAATGGGGTTCAACCCCACGGAGGACAGCAAGGCTTGCCAAGGTAAGAGGTGCTGTTTTCTGGGGCGGTGCAGCTTGTCTCAAAACCGGATGGGGAGCGCAAGAGCCTCCCCTCCAGAGTCAAAGCACTTCTGGTACCTTTATGGGGCACTTTTCGCCTCCACGCCTCCTGTGGCTAATCAAAAAGCCAAGGAGTTCATCCCTGTGAGCTCTGGTTCCGCTACACCACCGCCAACTGGCTGCCCTCTGGGTGCCGTGCACTACAGCTCCCAGCAGTCCTGGCCATAGAACATGGTGGCCAGGGCTGGTGGGAGTTGAAGTCCGGAACATCGAGAGGGTTCCATGTGGAGGAACCTGCCTTAAGGATTTCAGAGCATCCCAGACTTGCTCATTCGTTGTCCAGGGGCTGTGCAAATCCAAACATCTGATTTCCTGCAGACATCGATGAGTGCACCTTCCAGAACATCTGTGTGTTCGGCACCTGCCAAAACCTGCCGGGCATGTTCCGCTGCGCCTGTGACGATGGATACGAGCTGGACAGAAGTGGCGGCAACTGCACAGGTGAGCAAGGGTGGGGCAGGGGGACCTGAGAGAGATCCACCTGGCTCCAGGGCAGTCTACCATTGCTGTCATTCCACCACTGCCATCTCTCCGGCTCCTGTGGCCACACCCCATTGACTCCTTGTCTGTCTCTGCTTCAGCAACAAGCATCTAGTCCTTAAGCCATGGGTCCTCAAACTTCAGCCCGGGGGCCAGATCCGGCCCGCCATGCCCATTTGGACCCGCCCTGCCCCGCGCCCGCCCATGCCCATGCGTGTACATGCTGCCGCCCACCTCGCCCCGCATGTGGGGAGGCAGCAGTTTGCTGACTTGGAGAAAACGTTCTCCAAGCGAGCAAGCCGCTGCCTCCTGTGCCCACTTTGCGGCGCATGCCCGCCCGTGCCTCGCTGCGCACCCTGCACGCGCTGCCCCCGCCCCCAAGCCCATGCTGGCCCACATGCACCGCTGGCACCACCTTTCCGGCCTCCGCCCAGCACTGGCAGCTTCCAACTGGCCCCCTGGTGGAAAAGTTTGAGGACCCCTGCCTTAAGCCCTCTGCTTCAGCCTTCCCCTGCTCTCCGACATCAGCCCCCCCACCCTGTCTAGTTCTCATCCTATCTTCAGTCGCGGCTTCCATCATCCCTCCTGCCACATTCCTTGTCCTTCCTTGCTACTAATCAAGTTCCTAGTCCTTAGGCTTAAAGCTCTCTGGCTTGAGTCAACCTTCACTAATCTTGCACGTACCCCTCTAGCTTAATATTAACCAATCCTAAAATTGTGGGGGAGCCTTTGATCAGTGCAGGATGCTCCATGCAAGAGCATCCCCACAGTGAGGGGAGAACCCAGCACCCCTTCCTGCTCCTGCAGTCCAAACACTCCCACCCCCAGAAGCTTCTCCTAAAGCGCAAGCCCATTTGGTCCATCCCTGCAGGCCGCAGTGGCAGCGATGGAGAACAAGTCTTTCTTCGTGTCTTTCTGCGGTCTCAGTGTACCCGGAACCCCCAGCCATGCACAGACAGATGATCATCTGGGGCTGCTTTGCTTAGAAAAGAGGCAAGGAGGGGAAACAGGCTGGGGGTGCTGAGCATGAGCAAGAGGAGGGAGATGCTGTTTCCTGCGTTGTGCAATGCAAGGACCCCCTGGGATCACCACAGGAAGCTGATGGGGGCGGGGCGAGATCCTTCCCCCAGTGCACGGTGACTGCTTGGCGGTGGCTTCCATGGTTTGTGACGGCCGCCCGCCAGGATATCCTTCAAGGGCAGTGGCAAAGTCACTGAGCGGGAGGAGGCTTTCCAGCTGCCAGTCCTTGAGGCTCCATGCTGCCTCCAGCCTCAGAGGGGGCGCGACTGAGCCCAGCACATCCTGGGCGGCACGGTGCAAGGGGGCACTTGCACAAACCGGACAATGATTTGATCCTGTTCCTCTGGTGACATCCTTTTGGAACCGCTGCCATCTTATTGCTCTCCCTGGACCCATGTTTCTTTCTCCTCCTCACCTGAAGAGCTTCTGGGCTTGGGGGCCTCATTCTCCCCCTCGTCGGCCCCTCTTTTGGAGTTGTGCAGCGCGGCTTCTCCAGTGTCCCTTGACCTGCGCAGCCACACTGCTTGATTCTCAGGGCAGCTGCCCTGGCGGGAGGCGCTTGGCACCTCCAACTCAGATCCATTGCCACCTCCGGCAGAATTGGAGCCGCCCTCCATCAATGTGGGGTTTTTCCTGTATTCCAGGAGAGGGGAAGTTCAACAGAGTTAAACCCTTTTGCATACAAGAGCCGGTCAGTTGTAGTAGGAAAGCTGACAGTTTCCATGGACTGAAGTCTGGACCTTTGCTCAGGAAGCCAAAGTTTTGCAAGCAGTGAGAAAAGGGAAAAGGGAAAAAGAATTTAGGGTGAAATGCTACTGAACTCTTTCACTGGACTTGGGGAGAGTAAATAAGCAACTTTAAAGCAATAAGCCTAAGGCAGAAACCTGGAAAGGCAAGAGGAGAAAGGGAAGGTGGGCAGGAAGGTAGGCAGAGCAGAACAAGTCAGAGTTTTAGAAAGTGGTGTATTACATGGATTAAGGGACAGCCTTTCTAAAAAGCATTTGTTTATTTACATTGCCCTTTTTTGTTGTGTGTCTCCTTTTAGATTTTTTTAAAAATCCTATTAACTTTTTTCTTCTGTAAGCTTTGTAACATGGCAGGATTAAGACGAGCTTTTTTACACATGCTTTACCCCCGCCAGGGGGGTTCTTTCTATGCCTTTTTGTGTGGTCCATTATACAACCACTAGGTGGCACTGCAGTTTAGTGGAATAGCACAAACACATGAGCATCTCCTAGTGTGATCTCTAAATAATACCACACTTTCCTCAAGCTAAATAAAGTTACAGAAATGGTTGCAAAGCATGGGAGAGGTCCTAGCAGATGGCATAATTTAGAATACCCATGAAGTATTCTCATAGGCGAGGCTTGATGGGCACACAAGAAATGCCATGTGTAGAGAGGCCCCAACCCAAGAAACATGCCAGGGGACAAAAAAATGGGCATCTGGAAGCATCCCGGTCTCATCCATCCGGCATCGAGTGCAAACTTTCTGCATGTTGGACGCAGCCTTGGGTCTCCATGTCAGTGCTCTCCTCTCTAGTAGCATGAACTCTGCCTCCCAGGCCACGTCCCTTGCCCCTGTGCCAGAGCCCAGCCGGGGCCAGAAATAATGCTCCTGATATGTCCCGCTTCAGATGTCAACGAATGCGCCGACCCGGTGAACTGCATCAACGGGCTTTGTGTCAACACGCCTGGCAGCTACCTTTGCAACTGTCCCCAGGATTTCGAGCTGAACCCCACTGGAGTGGGGTGTGTGGGTAAGGGTGGTCCTGACTGACTGAAGGATGCACGTGTCAGTAATGGGAGCTTAGATCCCCTTCAGTCCATTCTGCCAACTTCCCCAAAGAGTCCAGCATCCACTCAAGGATGGAACAAAGAATGAAGGATTCTTCTCTTACCAGAATTTCATTCCAGTTGCACTTGTTCCCATGAGGGCTAAATCACCAGAGTGTTGGCACATTCCTGCATGAGCGTGCATTAGTTGATGTGGCCCGCACTGCTGGGTGTCTGCGAAACCAAATGAGCACAAATCCTGTGCAAAAGCAGGTGTGCAAGCCCGTGGGATCCACAGAAGCTGGCCAGGTACAGAATCTGCAGGTCAGATTCAGGAAAATCTGAACCCACTTTTGTGGATTGCTTTGAGAAGCCGGGGCACAATCCGTTGTAGGTCATTTGCGCTTGTGTTCTGCCATTTCCTCCCCAGCACCAGCTGTCTCTTTTTGCAGGACTCTGGGCAATGTGACTGACACCAAGAGGAGTCCATCCAGCTCAGCACAGGTTGGGGACCCCAGAATAGTGGGGCTTCTCATCCAGTGCAGCTTTCTTTTGAGTTTTGCAAGAGCGATGGACTCCTTCTCCAAAAGGCTCACCACCAGTTCCCCCACCCCCAGCTGAGACTGCTTTGTTTTTCTGTGGTACTATTCTTGCTGTTGATGCTGAGGGTGTGCACGGAATCTGCTTAGGGCTGGGAATCTGTCGGATTCCCTGGGCTAGGCTCCCAGACTCCCGTGGTGAGCAGGGAAGGAGGCTGGGTGCTGGGAATAACAGCACGCCTTCTCCACATCCTGAACCCGCTCCTGATGGGGAAGGTTGCCAGTTGATCGGCTGGGGGTCTCCAAGCATTTGAGACTTCCTCTTGGCTTAGCCTGCTTTGCAGGACCAGGCTGGGCATGGGAGGGACACATTCTGAAGGAGTTTGTCCCAGCCCTAATTAATGATGATAATTTTGCTAGAATTCCAACACCCACCGGCTTGGCACAGGCAACCCCTAAGATCGGCAGCAGAGGCCCTTGTCCTTTGAGAGAGGCCAGGAAACAGAGTAGTCGGAGAAGGGCCTTCTCTGCGGTGGCACCACGACTGTGGAAGGTGCTCCCTAGAGAGGTCTGCCTGGTGCCATCATTATATGCTTTTTGGCGCCAGGTCAAGACCTTTTTATTTAGACATTTTTATTTAACCAATATTTTAAAGTTAATTAATTGTAATGGTATATTTATTTATTTATTTAATTCATTTTAACCATGTTATTTTCTACTCAGTCATGGTGTAGCCAATTTATTTATTTGTCTAGGATTGGTGGGGTTTTAATGTTTGTAAACCACCCAGAGAGCTCTCTGGGCTATTGGTGTGTGTGTGTGTGTGTGTGTGTGTGTGTGTATATACATTTGGTAACCTGCCTCCCAGGGCTGAGCATGGGCTGAACTCTTGAATCATCAGTTCTCATGTTGTTTGACCCCAGGTCTCAGAAGGTTGCCCCAGGGCTGCCCCCTCCCCAAGCCCAAGAGAAGAGACCTTGGGGAACAGAGATCTGACGGCCCTTCTCCCACGCTTGATCCTGGCCTGTATTATCGAGAGTTGTGCTTTTTCCTTTTACCTTTCTTCCTCCCTCTTTCTCCCCCACCCTTCTTTCTTATTCCCACACACAGACACCCGTGTCGGAAACTGCTTCCTCGACACCCAGGACCGGGGGGACGGTGGGATCTCCTGCAGTGCTGAGATTGGAGTGGGCGTCACCCGGGCCTCGTGCTGCTGTTCTCTGGGCCGGGCCTGGGGGAACCCCTGTGAGCTCTGCCCTCCAGCCAACACCAGTAAGGACAGAGAGTGGGCTTTGTCCCACAGCAGTGGCCTTGTTTCATGTATCTATTATAAGCAGCACTTCTCAACTGCCCTTCAGTGCTTGCTCTGCCAGAAAGGTTTCTAAGAGCAGCTTAGAAAAATGAATCATGAAACCACAGTCAAAGGGATACCACATAAAAGGAAGAGGCATGTGGAGGTAGAAGGAAAAAGCAAAGCTCAGGCACTAGGTCTTTGTTTCAAAGGTTTAGGAGGTGTAGGGAACAATGAAACAAGCTGCCTTCAGCTTGGGTCAATAGACAGGGCTCAGTTGGTCTGGACTGTGCTGAGATGCTTATTCTAGGATGCTGGAGAGCAGCATAGTCTCCCAGGGATCCTTGGAGACAAGTGTCCCGTCTCAGGGAACCATCAGCTGGAGCTCTGCATTGGAGGTGGGGGAGTGAGGAGAACCTGCAGGAGGTGTGGAAGTGGGTCAGACCTGCTGATCAAAGATTGGTCTGCTTGCCACCCAATTGCATTCCCTTTTTTTGTGCATCGGCTGGTAAACTTTCCAATCCTGTACAAGTTTACTTGGGATTAAGTCTCCTTGAACTCAGCAGGGCAGCTTTTGGAGCAGTGGTGCAAAGAACTTTGTGCTTGGAAAGAAGACCTCTGGAATGACTGTCAGTGTGAGTAATGGAGGGGAAGGGCCCTCCCAGAGCCTAGCAGAATTGCGATCTTTGGAATCCCAAGAATGCATGCCATCTGCTGACTCCCCACTCTCCAAAGAAATATTCAGTGTCATGCTGGGTATGGATGTCTTAAGGAAGGAAGGAAGAGTAAGAATCATTATAAGGATTTCATAACTAAGAATGAATGGCTGCTTGCTTTTTTCTTCCTCCTCCACACCTCTTTTCCTTTTGTGTCATGACTTATAGGAAGTGAGTCTGAGGGCAAGGAATGGTCTAATCACTGAACAGGGAGGCTTTTGTGGAAAGGGTATGGTAAAAATGCTTGAAATAAAGAAATAGCACTAAATGAGCTTGTAAATAGCACTAAAAGTCCTGGGCAGTTTTAAGCCCCGCAGATGACACCTGCAAGAGCTCTGGGCTTGGTGGAGGCACCCCTCGTCCAGTTCCTTCCATGGGGTCCACCACCACAGCCCCCTGCCCCTGCTGCACCTTTAAAGAGCTCAGGAGGTAGAAAACAAAAGAGTAGCCATGGGGCAGGCAAGTGCAAAACTACAAGGCTCAGCCTTTGGCTGCAGCAGGGGTGGGGGGAGGCATACCTAGGGACAGCCAAGGCTGAGGAACCCCGCCCACTTCTCTGGGTAGACTCACCATCTGGAGAACCAAAGCTCAGCCAGTTAGGATGAGTTTCCGTGTCCATGGTTAAAGTGAGCTGGGTTCTGCGTTCTGTCTGTCCATCTGTCTGTCTGTCTGTCTGTCTGTCTGTCTGTCTCCAGGCAGGGAATTTGCATTCATTGCATGTCTTCCAGGGACAGTCGGCCTTGGGTCCCCAATTCACATCATTAACTCACTTCTCTCTCTGCAGCCGAATACAAGACCCTGTGTCCGGGTGGGGAGGGGTTCCGTCCCAATCCCATCACGGTCATTCTGGAAGGTAAGCCACAGGGGCTCTTCTCTCGTCGAGCCACCCTTCCACCGCCCCCCACCCCCGTCTAGGTGATGGGGCTCCACAGCCTAGGCCAGCTGCAGCTCCAGGTGCGGCTTGCAAGAGCTTGCGTTCCACCTGCCGTTCTTCTCCTGGCCCATAGATATTGACGAGTGCCAGGAACTGCCCGGACTTTGCCAAGGGGGCAACTGCGTCAACACTTTTGGGAGCTTCCAGTGCGAATGCCCCCTGGGCTACTACCTGAACGAGGACACCCGCATTTGTGAAGGTACTCTGCCTCACTTTTCAGAGAGCAACCTGTGTGCTGGCAGGGAAGGGGAGGAGGCCCAGAAAGAAACTGAACAATTACTGCTAAAAATACTGTGCTGAAAATACAGAATGGGAATAGAACGAGGCACAGAAATTCCACATTCTGAATTTCTGCATTTATGATTATTATTTTAGTAGACATCTCGATGCTTAAAAGAAAAATTTCTGCCAGGAAACCTACTTAGGACCCATCATCTTTCATTTGATAATCTTGCTTCTTCCCTGTTTTGTGCAGCTTTCCCTTCATTTTCAAAACTTGAAGCATGCCTTCGAAGGCGCATTACTGGCATCATGAATCTTAAGCTGAAACATGGTGGCATTTTTTTTATTTTAGTGCTCCCCTTTTGCCTTCAGCCATGTCCAATGCTGGAATACATGCTGGAGCTGCCTCCAAAATTCAATTTGTCCTTCCGGCCAGAGGTCATTTGCTGCCCTTTGCTTTAGACTCTTGAATCATTTTGAGGTTTATTGGAGCAAAGCATTTCTGAGAAATTAGCCTTGTTATTGCAAGCTGGCTGTGAGCCTTTGGAAGCAGTGATGTTGGGCAAGAACACCCCACTGAACTCCTCAGGGCTTGCATGTGAGAAGGCAGCCTTGGCTCAGCGGGGAGAAGGGCTCAGAGAAGCCTCAGTGCCCAAGGTCACAGCAGTGCTCTGTGCCCTTCGGCTGCTGGAGATGCCCCTTAGCAGCAACGCACACCCAGCTGGTTTTCTTGTTCCTCGGCCTCTTCAGACATTGACGAGTGCTCGGCCCACATTGGGATCTGCGGCCCGGGAACCTGCTACAACACGCTGGGGAATTACACCTGCGTCTGCCCGCCGGAATATATGCAAGTCAACGGTGGAAACAACTGCATGGGTACGAAGCAGAGGAGTTGGGCACACGGGAAGGTGGGCTTTCAAAGCAGGGGAGGCGGAAGGTGTGGGTTCACGGGCACTGCCTCCCAGCACGGTTTTCCTGCCCTGGCTTTTTTCAGATCAAGGATTAGCTGGGGATGCCAGCTCAGCACAGCAAACCCTTCAAATCCCCCTTCCATCAGGCCGTTCCCCAGCAGGAGAAAACCCATGGGGTTCAGTGTGGGTGGTTCTAAGCTTAATTACAGGGGTCTAAATCCACAAGAGCAGGAAGTGATAAGAGGCCCTGAGAGGTTGCCTGTGAATTGCCACTGGGAAACACGGATTGGGGTGGTGCAGGGCCAGCCGCATGTGAGCAAAGGTGCCGATTCAGCTGAGCAATCGATCAGCTGGTGTTGCCACTGGTGAAGTTCACAAAAAGTTATTTCCCAACTTGTGCATAGAATGAACTGGTGAAAAACCAGGAAGTGAGTGTGATTGTGTGATTCACTAGTGTGTCCCACTGGGACTTGGGAGATTCCAGTCAATTCCCTCCAGGCCAGGAAGCCAGGATGACTTGGGGCCAGTCCTCGCCTGTTGGGCTAAGCCACCCTGCAGGTTGTTGTGAGAATGGAATGGAGAGGAAGGTGGGGTTGGGTTCCTCAAAAGAAGGGAAGAGGAGGGAGGGGCATGCATATTCCCCACGCTGTGCACCCGTCCACCCCGCCACTCCTTTTCATCCAGACATGAGGAAGAGCCTGTGTTACCGGAACTACAACGACACCTGCGAGAACGAGCTGTCCTTCAACATGACCAGGAAAATGTGCTGCTGCTCCTACAACATCGGCAAGGCCTGGAACAAGCCCTGCGAGCCCTGCCCCACCCCCGCCAGCCGTGAGTGGCCCCCTCCCCTGGGTGTGGGAGGCAGAGGGCTTTCGCGCGAGCCCCCAGACTTCCAGACTCTCCACGGCATAAGCTTTGCAAGAGCTGAGCTGGCCATTGCCAACAAAACATGCTTTGCTAAAGCTGAGTTGCCAACTGATTCTTGCCTGGGAGCTTGCAAGGAATACTTTCTCCTGCACCCTGCCCCAGTGGGAGACACAGACAACCCATCAGCTCAAACCAGAGTGACTTTGCTGGAGAAGGTATTTTATTTATTTATTTATTAAAACATTTTTATGCCGCCCCACGCTTTGCTAGCCAACCCACATCAAAATGGTTGCAAGAACTGGTTTTCCTACTACCTGCTATAGTGAGGAATGTAGAAAAGCCATTAAATCAGGGGTTGCAAGTTCAGGGGCTCTTTACTGAACCTGAGTTCAGACCTAAGGGCATGCATGGAGTGTTTTCTCCTCCCCTCTATGCAGCACGGGACTCAAGCCAGGCTCAAAAGCCCCAGCAGAGTGAGTGTGCCTTGGCAGACCTGAGTGGCTAGCCAACCTGTGGCTAAGTTCTTGCACAGGGTATCTATCTTTCAGCTTGCCACACAGAGAGACCCAGACAATGGTTTAGTTCAAAACGGAGCAGCTTTGCTGAACTTGAGTTGCTAGCCAGCTCACACCTGATATCTTGCAAGGAGTGATTTTTCCCCACATGCGTTCACATGAAGAACCATGGACAGGTCTTTCTTGACACCGTTTCTCTCACAGCTGAATACCAGATCCTGTGTGGAAACCAGGCCCCTGGATTCATCATCGATATCCACACTGGAAAACCAATTGGTAAGTAAACCCTGGATTCTGGTCTCTTTTACTCAACTCTTTCAAGGCTATGTCTCCTGCTTTACCCCCAGTGCTTTTCAAGCATCATGGTTATGCTATTCTTGCCAATACTGAACTCTGCAGGAAAAGAGATCAAGGCCCCACTGTAGAAGCTGAGTAAGCTTCCAGTCCTCATGGTAAAGGTAGTTCTTAATAGGAACATGGGAAGCAACTTAAATCAGAATCAGTGTATTTACATTTTTTCCCATTTCTATACCACCTAATGGGCAAAACTCTCTGGGAAGTTTACAAATATTAAATCTTTAAAAATGCAATATTGTAATATAATGTAGGAATTATTCACATACGACAGAGCTAGGCATAACATGCACGCACAGTTATTAACAATTATGTTTGTTGATTTGACTAACCTGTCAAAATTAATGTGGTTGTTAGTTTCCCTATGTCCCGTTTCACAGCTAGGTGAAAAGTGTACTTCACAGCACCCAGTAGCTGCGTGGCTGCTTTTCTTGGAGAAGCATGCTGCTTCATTCCGCTCCAGCTGTTCAAGCACAACAAAGCACAACTGTGCAGCTTCATTCATTCATGCATTCACTTCTCTAAAGCATTTCTATCCCTCTTTCCGAAAAGTTAAAAAAGGAGGAAGGACTTATTTTATTTACTTTCTTACAAGATTCTGCTTCAGATTCCAGGATGGAGATTTTGAAGTAGCAAACAATGAAATGGTCAAACAGATACAAGAATAAAATGGCATGTTTAAAACAGAATCAAGAAAAACTATGGCTGGTCAGTTCAGGAAGCGCTTTCAGGAGGTGCAGAAAACAGTGCAACTCTGCTGGCTCCTCTCCTGGCTGGTCTCCAGGGCAGGGAGCTCCACAGACGGGAACCCCAGAAGGCCCTTCTCCGGCTGGTCCCTGCTGGGCTGCAGCCCTGTGCGGTGTCCCCAGGGGCAATGCCATCCAGGACCTCGGGGGTCAGGTGGGTTGGTGAGGGAGAAGGAGCTGCCTCGAGCATCCTGGTCCCAAGTTGCTCACGGCCTGTGTGAGCCCTGAGCCTGGCCCCGGAGGAACAGACTCACAGGCTGAACGGGCCAAGCAGCCACATCCAGCTTCCAGAGCAGCCCCCACAAGAGCGGATGGCACTCATCCCGTCTTGCAGTGGCTAGCGCACGCCCTCTTGCACAAGCCGCCTTGTCCAGGGGAGACCACAGTTACAGTAAGCAAACACACCACTGAAACGCCACTGTTCCCTGCGGCAGCTGCTTTGCAGAAGTTATCCACTGTTTCAGATTGGGGGTGGGGGGTCTTGACTTTACCTGCAAGGGCAGGGTGGAGCCCCTCTGCAGGCTGCACAGGGGGTTTGCTGCAGCAGACGTGGGCTCAGCCTGTGCCAACTCTCCCCGGCATCCTCTCCGCAGACATCGACGAGTGCAGTGAGATCCCAGCCATCTGCACCAATGGCGTTTGCATCAACCAGATCGGCAGCTTCCGCTGCGAGTGCCCCATTGGCTTCAGTTACAACAACATCCTCTTGATCTGCGAAGGTAGCAATTGCGATGATGTGGAAAAGAAATTGGGGGTGGAGGCAAATGGGTGGGGGGAGGTCTCAGCCCAAGGCACCCGCCAAGCTGGCAGATGCAGCGGCAGCGCAGCTACAAGTGGAACACGGCAACAGAGGCATCCACAGTGTGGCGTATCCACGCCAGGTTTCAGCTGAACCTTAAAGGTGCTCTCCAGGGTGCTGCACCTAATCAAGTCCCCAGTGGGGGGGAGAAATTGGGGCTCCAGCCACCGTAATTCTGGCTAACCACATCCGCATCCACATCTTCTGCACATTTCTTCATCAGTATCCATGTAGCGGTCTCTTGTGCATATCTGTCATTCTCCCACCTTTTCTAGACACGACTTTTATCATGTTAATGTCCCTTGCTCATGGCTGTTTATGGGTGCTTTAGAGGACATTGTCAGCCTCCAGTTTTGCTCCTGTGTTTTAAAAGGACTTTCACCAGGCTTGGGCACAGCAGGGGGGATCTGGTATTTTGGGGAGCCCTGCCAAGGGCAAGGGCAAAACCAAGGGCAAGTCTCCCAAAGGCCCCTGGCATCACTCGGCTATGCTGCAGCACCTCCTAGAGGTTGCCTGGTGGAAAGGCAGGAAAGGGACACTGCTTTGTGCGCAAATCTGGTCTGGGGGTCTTGCCTTGAAAAGCGCTGCCTTTGCCCCTGCTGTGTCTCTCTGTCACCCATCTATTCTGCTTTTACCACCTTGCAGGATACTTTTTCCTCCCTATGGTCAGGTGGTTGGTTTATGCAGTTAAAAACTGTTTGATGAGCTAAACAGGTTTAGCTGAAAAGTTTGATAGGCATCAACTCTCCTGTTGAACGGCTCTCGGGGGTAGTTAATAAACCAGCTTACCCTGGACCTCGTAGCCCTGGGGACCTGGTCAACCCAAGATGCCTCACTTGAGATTGAAGACACTGCTAGGAAGAAATGAAACTAGCTGTGTCAAAGAGGATGTGCAGTTTATCGAATGCAATGACAGAAGAACATGAGAAAGAAAGTGTATGCGCCTCTTCTGTGTGCCATGTCAGTGCCCCAAATGGTCCAGGAGATACCCTCCAAAGTTGCCTGGCCAGAGATGTGTCAGAATGAATGCTAGCACCACTTGCCATGAATTTGGTGAGGCTCCTGTCTCCACTCCCGCGTTTCAGAGGCTGTCAGTGCACACTTCAGCTTCCAGCTTCCATGTACTGGGAGATGGAGTGGGCGCAACGTGGCTTCAGCCTCATTCTCGCAGCAGAAGCTGCTCTTCTCTATGGAATGCAGATTCCAGGCCATTCTCTCTGCTGCTCTTCCTGGACACCTGCAGACTCTGAGGCCTTGCATGGCTGCAAGAAACTCCTGGCTTCTGCAGCCTGGGGAAGGGTCTCGTCACCACATGTTGAACCTTACAGACTCCTTGCATTCTCCTGGTGCAGTCCGCCCCGGAACAGCCCCTGGGGTGCAGGGAGGCGCCTGCGCCTCTCCCCGTCTTCCCACCTCTTTCTGCTCCTCTGCAGACATCGATGAATGCAGCAGCGGAGAGAACCTTTGCCAGCGCAACGCGGATTGTCTGAACATCCCCGGCAGTTACAGGTGCGAGTGCTCCTCAGGATACAAGCTGTCGCCTCGTGGAGCATGCATCGGTAAGCTGGGAGCCGTTCCTTTGCGTCCAAGAGCCAAAGACCTTTGCCGCCCCGACTGGCAGCCTCCAGGGACGTGCGCCTTGTGGGGGCAGCTTTTCCATGTGTCCAGGGCTGTGCATGGCACAACCTCTTTGAAGGACAGGAAATCAGCAGGAAAAGGAGGATGGGGGCTGCATTCTGAGCTGGGGGTGGGGGGTGGGGCAGAAATGCCAGCGACGTCAACATGTTTGGGCTTCAGGCTTTTCCTTCCTGAGCCTTCCGAGAGAGACTGGCTGCTTAGAATGGGGAGAAAAGCAGAAGCACTGAATGGTGTAACTGGGGAAAATGAGGTGGCCTTCTGGAGAAGCACAGAGAATGTGTGCGTGCCTGAGGCTTCCCACCAGGGTTTGTGCAGTTGTTTGTAGTTGGTTGCAATGCTTTAACAGCATTCAGTGCTATTTTTCCGCCCACACCCGCTCCACTGCCACTAAGAGGGTCAAGGGAGCCAGCACTTAATTTCAACTTCCTGCTTGTGCAGCACTTGTGTTTGTGAGGCACTGCCAGTTTTGAGGGTGTGGGGGGCAAAATGAGCACTCATAAAAAGGGACAGGAGACAACCCCATTGGCTAAGGGGTCAGACTAGATGGCTCGAGGGATCCCTTCTGACTCACTCTGTTTCTGTGTTTCTGTGATAATCAGATGGGGTTCAGACAACATGATAACCACACTCATGGGTTCAGTGTGGTTGCTGTTGAACCATGAGCTGAGGCTGAGCCTGGGTTAGTGTGTCATCTGAACCCAGCTGATGCCTTTCGCTCCCGTCTCTAGGGAAACCTACACCCACCCTGGTTGCAATTTTTTATTATTTATAAGATTTTTATCCCGTCCCATTAGCCACAGGTCCCCTGCACAATATTAACACAAATACATCTCAAAGGGCTAATGGAACTGTCGGATCCCTGTTGGAAGAGAGGTTGGGTAATGTCGCATTGTGGTTGGATGTTGTAATAGTTAAAATCTTTCTTTCCTCCATCCATCCTTCAGGAAAAATGGTCCAGAAGAACTTGGTGGTTCTAGAATTCTGTGCTAAGAGAACTCATCTTCTTCCAGCCTCAGTTGCTGCACCAGTGAAATGGATACAGGGTTGCAAAGATAGAACTGCTTTGGGAAGAAAGAGCCAAAGGCATTTTAATGGTTTAGAAATGAAACCACTAAACGATGTGGTTCAGAGAAAGGGGGTGGCCTTCTGGAGGACACCCCACCACACACACACACACACACACACTTTCCTTGCTTTCCACCCTCACAAGTTTCAGATCCCAGGAGTTTTTGTGGAAGCTTTTTCTGGAAGCATCATCTCTGCCTTGCAGCTTGTCCGGGCTGTTGGCTTTTTACGTTTTCCTCTTCCAGGTCGCAACGAATGCCAGGAAATCGCCAATGCCTGCAGCCACGGCGACTGTGTTGACACCGAAGGCAGCTACATCTGCGTTTGCTTCAACGGGTTCAAGGCCACCGGAGACCTGACGATGTGTATGGGTCAGTATTCCCTGGGGTGGACGGGCGACTGGCTGCTTTTCTCTACCTGGCGTGCTGGTACAGCAGATTTTCAAACCCGAGCCAATCTGGTCTCAGTCCTGCCTCACAGACCCTGACCTAAGATGTCCAAAGACGGCTGGAGCTGGCTTACATGTTTTTGAATCAACCCTCCATGAGCCCATGCTAAGTGCACCAGTGGTCTCATTCAAAAGGACACTGTAGGATGGAGCTGGGACCCAGGGAGGGACGGGCAGGCATCTCCCGCTGCCAACACTCCCCTCCATCAGAGCTTGTTTTGGAAGATCATCTGGGCCTCCGCAGATCTCAGCCCTTTCAGAGCGATGGCAAGAAGCATTGCCTTCACTCAGAGTGAGCTTTGCCGTGTCATCGCACAGCTGAGCCCAATTGGTGGCACAGGACCTGCTGGTTCTCCCGAGGCCTTTGCAGCTTCCCACGCGTGGAGGTTTGAGGGTCTTTTATAGGACGTCATCCTCTTCCAGGACCTCCCCGGTGCTTTCCGGCCATTCTTGCTGCTTTCTATAGAGTGAGGAAGGTGCAGCATGTTTCTGGGTCCAGGCCCCAATTCACTATCAGGTGCCGTGTGTGTGAGTGTGATTCGGCTCCAGGCAGCCCCATGGTTGTGTTACGAAGCATCTAAGGACCCACAGAAAAACAGCACAGGAAAGCAAATGCTTGTGCGAGGCAGAGCAGAAGCAGCCTCCTCCTCAGTAAAGCAGCGGGTTGAATGCCCCACATAGAGAAGCCCGCAACCCTGCTTGCCTTCACCTCCCACAGACATTGATGAGTGCGACCGCCAGCCCTGCGGGAATGGGACGTGCAAGAACACCGTGGGCTCCTACAACTGTTTGTGCTTCCCTGGCTTCGAGTTGACCCACAACAACGACTGCATGGGTAAGCGGATGCAGGGGCAGGGCGGGCTGGGGCGGAGTGCCCGGGGGGGCTGCCCTCACCTCCCACCTGCTGTGCCCGCAGACGTCGATGAGTGCTCCTCGCTAGCGGGGCAGGTGTGCCGCCACGGCCAGTGCATCAACGACGTCGGCTCCTTCCGCTGCCTCTGCCGCGAAGGCTACGACCACACGCCGGACGGCAAGAACTGCATGGGTGAGGAGCGCCCCGCAGAAGGTGGCCTGGGCACCATGGCAAAGGCACCGCTGGAGGCCGCTGGCCAGGGGAAGGGGGCCACAGTCCCCCGAGAGCTTCTTGGGGTCAGGGGCTGTGCCGGGGGTGGACAGAGCGGGAGACCGTGGGGTCCAGATTCGGGTTGCAGGCTCCCTGTCTGGCACCATAAGCACGCAAGCGTCATGTGCTCGGTGCAACGGCGCAAGCTGGAGGGGCCTCACAGCGCGCGTGTCCCAACAAATCCTGAATTTACCCTTAGATCTGCCTTGGGAGTGTAGATGGACCCCAGGACAGGGTGCCAGGGGCAGGCAGAACGGGACCCTCACCCCCTTTGCCTTCTTCCTCGGGGGCTGCCACAGGCGATCCCCAGTGCGGAGGCAGCCTGTTGCCCCAGAGCTGGTGGGACTCCCCCATTTGTGAAGCTGTCCCTGGGGGCTGCTTTGCTGCCCGGTTGCTTTGATCACGCACACACACGTGCACACACCCGCCACAAGGGGCTGAGCCCACGCCTCTCTCTTGCAGACATCAACGAATGCATCAGTCTGCCCGGGACGTGTTCTCCGGGGACCTGCCAGAACTTGGAAGGCTCCTTCCGCTGCATTTGCCCGCCAGGCTACGAGGTGCAGAACGACAATTGCATTGGTGAGGGGGCACGAGTGAGCACACACACATGCACGGAGGCACCTGTGCACACGCGCCAAGCCAGGCCCTGCGTTTTTCCATGCACCTTTATTCCAAAACCTAAGCCGCTGCGGGTGGGTTTGACAGCTGCTCTGTTTACACAGTGTTTCATGGTTGTTCTTATAACCACTGCTTCAAAAGCCCTAGACAGTTTAGGACTTAGCTCTCTAATGAAGTGTCTCCTTCCATATTTACCTGCCCGCCCCCTAAGATCTTGGTTGGAGGTCCTTCTTTGGGAGATCGGGAGAGTGGCTACCCAGAGAAGGGCCTTCTCTGTGGTGGCACTGCAGCATTGGAACAACAGGTGTGCTGATGCTTTTTTCATTTTGACACTAGGCCAAAACCTTTTAATTTTCCCAATATTGTAAGATTTAATGCAGTTTTAAAATGGGTTTCATTTTTTTCTATTTGATGCTGATGGTGTGCCCTTTGATCATATTACTATCCTGAGACCCTGGTGAAAGATGGGATAGAAAAACTTTTAATCAAAAATAAATAAATAAATAAATAAATAAATAATCAGTCCGGGCAAAGCTGGGCTGAGTCCCCCGAAATCCGTTTTTGTTTGACCTTTCTGTGAAAGTCAAACAAAATAGCTGTTCAGGCCCCAGCAGTCCTTCTGCTCCAGCATCCTGTTCATCCATTGTGGATCCAGTCTCTGGCTTCTCCGGGGAAGCCGCGGGCAGCTCACTCCTGCTGATGGTCCCTGCCGAAGGGCTTCGGGAGGATACGGCTGTGGGCGGAGTGACCGGTTAGCGCCAGCTTTAATGCCTGGAACAACGTCAAGCAGCAGGATCCTGTTCGGGGGCTCGGGGGATTTCCGTAGTAGCTCCACCCCGATGCCCACCGTTGTCGGAGCAGCGTGCAACCTCCAAGATGGAGGTGGGTGTGTGAAGGGTTCCAGCGGGCTTCTGCCTGCTTTCTCATTTTTCCCAGTGTTAACTCAGTCAGTCTTGCTGCAAACATTGTACATCATCCCCGCAAAAGGCTGCTCGCACCTTCGGCATGTTCTTCCAACACATGCCTTCGCGAGTGCATTCTGCCCAAGGTACTCATAGGCTACTGCTGGTTTTCCTAAATGAATGCACTTTTGAAGGTGATTCTTCTGAATGCGTGTGGCAAGCAGTACTGCAGGGTTTGGGACAAGGGGGTCCCACTCAATTCTTCCCCAGGAGATCCCTGCATGGAACCCGGGACCTCCCGCATGCCAAGCATGGGCTCTGCCACTGAGCTGCAGCCTTTTCTCTCAAGGGAAGCTAGGTTTCCAGTCCCCATGGCTTTGAATAAAGGACTGATTTCTCTAGGAACTTAGGCAGCTGCCATACAGACGCTTCCCCAAGCTCAGGACTTTTGCACTGACTGGGAGTAGCTTTCCAGACATTCGGAGAGGGGTCTTCACTAGTCCGACCCAGGGATGCTGCAGGTCGAGCCTGGGAGCTTGTGCATGCAAAGTGAGGGCTCTGCCAGTTCCGCCTGGTTCCCCAGAATGAGGTTTCCCCCAACCAAGAGCCAAACTGGGGAGGGGAGCAGCGGAAGCTGTCAGCAGGGTAGTATATCCACTCCAGATTTCAGTCTGAACTTTTAAGGCACTGTCCTCGGTGCTGAACCCCCTTGGAAGCCAGGTTCAGGCGCATGGATTGCTCCTTTAAAGGCTAAGCTAAAGCTTACCTCACATATGCCACACTGCTGATGCCAACTGCTCCCTGGCCCTTTTGCGGCAAATTGCAGATATCAACGAATGTGAAGAAGAGCCCAACATCTGTCTCTTCGGGACCTGCACCAACACGCCCGGCTCCTTCCAGTGCATCTGCCCGCCGGGCTTTGTGCTGTCCGACAATGGCCGCCGCTGCTTTGGTGAGTAGACCCGGCCGCATCACCACGGGGGTGCCCCCTGCCATAACTGCTGTGCTGGTGCTGGGGATGACCACCCCAGCTCCACCCTTTGTGGTCACCTGGGCCAGCCGCCAGACCCTTGGTGAGCCGGGGCAGGAGGAGCCAGGCGCCCGCAGCTTGCCGGTTGTGTCCCAGTCCCTTCCTTGGGCTTCCCAAGGCATGGGGCTTGCCTTGCTCACGCACCGCCTCGCCTGCCTCTTCTCCGCCAGACACGCGCCAGAGCTTCTGCTTCACCCGCTTCGACAGCGGCAAGTGCTCCGTGCCCAAGGCATTCAACACGACCAAGGCCCGCTGCTGCTGCAGCAAGATGCCGGGGGAAGGCTGGGGCGACCCCTGTGAGCTGTGCCCGCAGGAGGGCAACGGTAGGGCCCACAGCTGCCCGTGGACTGGTTGCCCGTCCCACTGGAGGGTGGGTTGAAATCCCCTCTCGAATTGCAGTGGGACCTGCATCGAAACGTGGGGCGTTCCTACTCAGCGTTGTCGCAAGCCGGCACTATCCTTTCCTAGGCAACTCTGTTCCGTGCCTTTATTCTCCATGCTGCCCCCGTTTTCTACTCCCCCTGCCCCACCAGTGCGCCCCTGAAATCCCCGCTTTTGTTCTGTTCCTCTCTTCCCCAGTGGATGTTTCCTACATTCACAAGCCCTGGGGCTCTTGTTTCTCAGTAGACCCATTCTGGCTTGGCAGCTGTCATCCGTCAGGCCCTCTGTGATGAACTCAACAGCTTCCAAATTCCCTCCGAAATGTTAGTGGTTGGACCCTTTTTAATGGAACTTCCCTAGCATAGGAAATCCACAAATCCCTTTGGAAAGTGCCTGCTCAAAGCTGCCTTGAGGGATTTTCATGGGAAAACAGTAACAAAAATGGCTGTGTGTTAGACACACACACACACACACATGTGGGGAGGGGGGGAGAGAGGGAACAAAAAGCACTTGTGATTTTGCATGCATCTCCCTCTGTAGTTGCCTTCCAGGAGCTCTGCCCCTATGGCCACGGTGCCATTCCTGGACTGGGAGACACCAGAGAAGGTAAGATTTTCCTGCTGCACCTCCCTACCCGAGTGAAAGGAAGAGCTTGGCATCCAGGGGTGTGCTGATACTCCTGGACACTTTCTGCTTTCTCCAGAGACTGTGAGGGAAAGCTGGAGTTGAGTTAGGAACCCCTTTTCTCCCTTCACTTTGCCTCCATTGAGCTGCAAAGAGCAGGGGAAACACAGTCAAACTGTATGAGACCATTAACGGAACAGTTGTTATTTCCTATCCAAACTTGTTTACAAAGTCTTTCAACAACGTGGTGGCCATGCCATTTCATGTCTGTTTCTCACTGTTTTTCACATGGCACTTAAGGCAAGCTTGTTTTGTTTTGGTCTTGTTTCTGTCTTTTGTTTTTATTTGTTTTGAGCATGAACAATTCCTTATTTGCAAAAGTGAAAGAAGATGCTTTTTCCACTGGCACAATTGTACTATTCAACTATGTCACAGCGCTATCTAGAGGCTATGTAGTGGAAAAGCAGGAAGTAGTGGAAGGGAAACACTACACTGTGCTGGCATTTTGGCCCTGCTGAACTTTCTGGCTGATATGAAGGCTTCCCTGGAATTCAGAATCTGAGTCTAAAATATGTTTAACTTTGTTTTCTCTCTGGGTGCTTTTGGAGAGAATAAAAACACAAGTTCAACCATTTTCTGGAGGAAGTTTTTAAAAAGCAGGTCCAGAAGAGAAATCTGTGTATAATGCTGTGTCCCATCCATGGGGCTTCCCTTCTAGATGTCAATGAATGCTCAGAAAACCCAGGAATTTGCATCAACGGGGCCTGCATTAACACAGATGGGTCGTTCCGCTGCGAGTGCCCCTTTGGGTACAACCTTGACTACACGGGCGTGAATTGCGTGGGTGAGTGTGGACAGGAGTACGTCGCCAAATCATACCCTGCCATTATCATTTCCTCATTTTAAAACAGCTTGACATATATTATCAGTCTTCTCAGTTTCAATTGTGTACTTGCCTATCCACACTTAAGGCCCCATAGTACACAGCATGGCTTATTTCTGAGTAGCCCTATTTAAGACTGTACTGTTAAACATTGCTACAGTTCAGTACACCACCACCCTGGAATAATAATACAACAAAAAAGCAGGCTGAATGTGCTTTGGGACAGAGCCATCAGTTGTTTTAGTCCAACTCCTGTCCTTCCCAGGACTGACCTCAGCAAAATGCCTATTTTGCCATTTTGGAACAAAAGTCAGATGTGCTGTGCTGATTGGTTGTACCAGCTTCTATTGGCACTGATTGGCTGTGCCAGCTGTGCACCTTGCTGATTGGTGTGCTGGTTCTGCACCCTGCTAATTGGTTGCACTGCTCTCCTGCGGTCTCACTGAGTAATGCATGCATGTGCACAGATGTCCTAGACAGATTTGGGGCCCTGCTAAGAGGGAAGTTCGCTGTGCAGTGAGAGAGAGTGCCCACAACTGCAGTGCGAAAGCAGCAATGCGCTCAGCAGTGGCTGGTGTGGCTTGTCTCCCATCACAACCAGATACGGACGAGTGCTCCATCGGCAACCCATGTGGGAACGGAACCTGCACCAACGTGGTCGGCGGCTTTGAGTGTGCGTGTGATGAGGGGTTCGAACCAGGACCAATGATGACGTGCGAAGGTAACCAGCTGGCCTTGCAACAGCTTCCAAAATTTTCCACTTTTCCCCTAGGTCTTCAAATCTCTACCTGCACCGGTGCCGAGGGCATATTATTTCTGACTCAGATGACTGATCTGGGAACTGAATTGGGTCAGCCGTTTCCGAGCTAGCATCTGGCCAGCTGGCCAGGACTACAACCCCCACCACAGCTCAGCTGTCTGGGGATGATTGGGTTTGTAGTGCCACCCATCTGAGGGCACCAGCTTGGGGAAACCTGGATGGAATGAACTCTATACCTCCCGTTCTGTTAATCTGCGCTTTTTATGCCAAACTCTCCTGTTTCTGCTCACCTCTTCCTTGGCCAGCATCCCTTTCACATCTGGCTGATCATGTGCACCAGTAAAGGTTAAGCTTTTATTTTAAGCAAGCTGCAGGCGGATGCTCTGGTTTTAAAGGGAATGCAGTGGGATTCCCCTGAGCTGGCAAGTGGGCCCAGAGTGCTCCAGATGGGTCCCCAGGCTGGCTCTCCTTCAGGAAAGGGCTCCGCACTGGTTTCTCTTGGGCCCCTGCAGGTTCTGCTCCCTGAAGTACAACTTTTTCCTGCAGTCTCTGGGACAAACAGTGGAGTGTCTCCAGGAATGCCCACAGGATGAAATCCACAACCCTGGCCTTCCTTGGGGAGTACATTTCAGAATTTCCCAGCCTTGTGAAACTGGATTAAAGATCACAGAGCCAGGCCTTTCATTCCCAGCATGAGCAGCTTCCGGGACACTCAAAAACAGAGGGCAGAGGCAATAACCTCACAATGCTGTTTGCCCCCAGTTCAGTGGTAGACTGCACCAGTTGATGGAAGCTCCATTCATCCACCACAGCTAAAAAATGGCCAGTATCCCCCTGAGCAAAGGGATAAGGCTGGGCCAAGGCACTGGCTACCTCCACCCTCTTTGGGGTGGGATGGCAGGTCTCCCATCTCACCTAGCCTTTCCCTACCACAACCGCCCCACCTTCTCCACCCCACAGACATCAACGAGTGTGCCTTGAACCCGCTGCTCTGTGCCTTCCGGTGCATCAACACCCTCGGCTCCTATGACTGCACCTGCCCGTCCGGGTACACCTTGAGGGACGACCGAAGAATGTGCAAAGGTAGGAAGGGCCAGCTCACTTTGCTGGAGACATGGTGGATGGAAAAGCCTTTGGTATCTATTTCTAGGCTTACCAAAAAGGAGTGGTACTGAAGTAGTGTTTGAGCACCGCCTCCCTCACCTGCCACGAATCACCACAAACCTGGTCAGGGAGAAAGTGCCAAATGCGGGGGTCTCACAGCGAGGATGCTCTGTGGGTTGACAGCTGGGGGAGGAGTGTCTTGCTCTGGACTTCAGATGTCCACCTCAGCAGTCCTTGAAAAGTGAGGATGCTCACCTCAGGGGAAGCAGCACTGTTCCAGACTTCTAGACGCAAGAGGAACCTCCATAGGAAATGGGCACTGGGGCAAATAGACAAAAGGGTATACCAGGAGCAGGAGACCCGTTGCAGAAGGATTCTTCGCAAGGCTAAGGCTGATTACGAGCTGAGACTTGCCAAGAATATCAAGAGCAACAAAAAGGGCTTCTTTCAGCATGTAAATAGGGAGAGGAAGGGGAGACAAGTGGTGGGACCACTAAATAAGGAGGAAGGAGATCCAGTGACTGATACGAGGGAACAGGAACAGATGCTAAATGACTATTTTGCCTTTGTGTTCTCCCCAAAGCAGGACGGGGG